AAAAAAGAAAACTTTCTTTTTATATTTCAAAATTGATATATTTAATAGTGATATATTATAGAAAAAAGTGATCCTAAATCCTTTCATCATTAATCATTCGAAAGATGAATGGTTCAAAAAATCCGTTAATAATCTTAAAAATAATAGATTCGAATAAATAATTCTTGAAGGGAATTTCGGGACAATAAGAGATTTTCTAAGGTCGGTGTAATTTTTGTACTAACTTTTGTTTTGGTGGCTACAATAAATCTGTATTGTTGCACTAACAACTATACAACAAAATTTGTATTGTTATACCAACAAATATATTAATATTACAAAGGAATTTGTTACTACAACAATTATACGGATTTGTTGTAGCGACCAAATAAAAGTTTCATATTTCGCAATTATCTGGTAAATTATGGTTTTTTTTTACCATATGATTATATAGCATAACACTGTCAAAAATTGTAAAAAAGTATTTACAACATTGAATAAGAATTGCGTGTGTGGAATAATATTCAAAGAGTCAACGCACTTTTATAATACACGCGAATTTTTTTTTTTTTTCCTTTTTTTTGTAATAAGTGGCGCCATTCATTTGCCTAAAAATAATCATATCTTTTCCTTCTCATCAAAAGAACACGTCAAAAGAAAGAGAGAGAGAGAGAAAGAGGAAAAGGAGGGATTTAAAGAATTTCAATTTTCAATAAACTGAGGCTCTCTCGGTGCACGAATTAACGATAAACGTTCTCGCATCAGTATAGAAGCGAGGGATTGGCAAAATAAACGAATAAAAATAACTGGTACTACCAGAGTGTGTGTGTCGGCGCTACTGTGTGAAAACGAGTTTTCAAAATTAAAAAGATCATTTTTTTTTTATATTAATAAAAATTATTCTGTTTCTCACAGAGAAAAAAAAATGGAAAGTTGATTAGTAAACAAATTATTTGCTGCAACAAATATATAATTTTTAAAAATTAATAAACTTTTTTGCTTTTAGAAATAAATTTTTTATAAATATTTGTGACGTATCGCGAAGAAAGGGACCTTAAAAGCAAACGAGTTATAGGTTATGTTTTAAATAACAGTTATTATAATTATTCCATATAAAAGTCAAAAAAAAGGGGGGGAGCTTTCAACAACATTGTTTGTATTGGTATTTACGCAAGCGTGATAAATTCTGGGGGGTAGCGAGAGTCATTTTCATTGTTTTCAAAGGAGATATAAGGGCCGAGAAAGAGAATATGGAACAGCTGCTTATAAAGGTATTACTATAGTACACATGTTGTTAGACACGACACCTGCGTCACGTCGATTTATTTGTCGAGAGAGTCAGTAGCGCGCAATTCAATTTTTTAGCTAATATGTCAGATCGTGTGTTACGATGAAGCAACCTTTACATTCTATCTCAGGTAACTCTGATGCTATTGGTATATATATACGGAAAATAATACATGTTAAAATATATATATATATTGCGAAAATAGATACAATAGGAAATAATTTAGAAACTTTGTGCTTTGCAATAATATCGACACGAAAATCTCGCAATGAAAAATCACGAAAAAACAATACACTAAAAGAATTATAAAAACTAAACACTAAAAAGAGTATTGCGACAACAAAAACAATTTAATTATTTAAATAATTTTAATTTAAATATTCAAATTTTTTTATAAATAATTATTTTTTATTTTATAAGAAAAAGTACAGAAAAAATTAAAACCTATTTTAATATAATTAAAATCGATTATTAAAATAATTAATTAAAAATAATAAATAAAATAAATAAAAAAAATAATTTATCTTGAAAGTGACGAAACCCTGCAAAAAGACTACCCGTCCTACATGACTGCAAGGCACAGTGTATAAATACTTTGATAGTCGCTCAAACGATACCAATAAAAAAAAAATCATCTAAAATCATCTCCTTTCTCTAAATAAATAAAAAATTTATTTTTATTAAAAATAAAATAATTGCAACATTAATTTAATTATTGAAATAAAACTTATATTCAAACTTTCCCTTCTCGAGAAGATATATATATATATTTATTATTTATTATCTTCATAAAGAAAATAAAAATTTTGCTCTATTTATTTTGAAGCACAAAGTTTTATGAACATTTTCTTGGAAGAGCAAAACAGTTAAAATAAATTTAATTAGAAGAAACTAGAGAGAAAAAGAGAGAGAGAGAGAGAGAGAGAAAGGTACGAATCGAGTCACAGAATTCGTTGGCTAGTCTGTAATTAATTTAATAACGGTAGGAGTCCTGAGATCGAATCGAGTCGTAACTGAAGAAGCGAAAAGAACGATCTAGATCCCAAATGATGGATAGAAAGTAATTTGTTTTTGCGTCGAGAATGAAAGCTGCGCACAAAATACATTAAATACATTGCAACCATACAAAGTCTTCTAAAAATTTATATAAAGTCATTTCCATTTCCGGTTCTCAATTCTTTAAAAAAAAAGACGTGCAAGAAAATAAATAAAAATAAACAATTTCCTCGAATAAAAGTAAATAATACCTTTAATACAAAATTATTATATTAATCAAAATTATATTATTTCCCCCATAAATTGCTACGTCCAAATTAAGAAAAAAAAAATTTTTAAATCCTCTTAGTTAAAATAAAATTTAACATTGAAACTATTATAGTGGAGAGAAAAACAAGAAGAAAAATTAAAACAATTGTATAAATTCAGGTAATCGCGAATGTTTAAAAATAACAATGATCAAATGCATTCTGTATATTAAATTATACTTGTTTTTTTTACCTCCTCCGGAAGATATTGACACATATATATATACTTTTTTCGAAAGTCAGATAAAGTAAACTAATTAACAATCGAGTCGCGTAATTCCATATCGCGTGCGCGCATAATAAAGCATAATATATATAAAATGTTTATCATTGAGAGATCTTGATTCAGATGCCGAGGGGGCCTATATTATACATATATCGACATGAAAAAAGGGTTCGTCGATTACTACTACTGTTTATTTCAGTCGAGAGTGAAAGTTACATAAAAAAAAAAAAAACACGAGTGAGAAAAAAACAGGAATATTTTACCAATTAATTTGTATATATTTATATGATAATTATTTTAAAAAATTTTATTTTATATAATTTAATTAATTTTATTTAAATAAAATTTTTGTTATTAAAAATTGATGCATTAAAATTCTGACCGATATATCTATAATATGTAATATATGAGACAGGATTACAAACAACGATTCATATTACGTTATTGGCTGGACCACAAAGTTGCCTCTCCTTTAGAGAAAGCCCGCCTGTCCGCAACAAAATACACGCACATATACAAAATCGTATCAGAATTCTGTGATATACTGGGTGTTCTATTTCACTAATTAAATTAAAAATTAAAATTATAGACATAACTGTGTTAAAATAATTTTCATTTTTTTGCGGAAATATTTTTTTTAACAACACTCAATAAAAATATCAAGTACCATCGAACTAACCGATACGAAACACAAGTCGCGACTCTGATTTAAGAAAGTCGAAAAATAAATGCCAAACTTGATATATCAAATTATTTTCACTTATCTTTTCGAAACAAATTTTTCTACTTTAAGCTAAAAACGCACTCATAAAATTAAAAAGAGAAATTTTTTACATGAAGAATATTTTTAAACAAACTTTTACTTAACAGAATTTTTAAAACGTCGAATTTTTTTTTGTTCGAAATTACAAATAGCCGAATTTGGCGCGATGTTCATAAAATTCACCAAACAAAATAATTGTCAAGAAAATTGCGCCTAAAATTTGGCAATTTCGGACAAATAAAAATTTGGCGTTTTAAAAATTAAACAAAAAAAAAAAAAGAAAAAAATTACCCAAAAATTCTTTAAAAAAATTTTTTTTGAAAAATGTTAATTCGTTTTTGCCTCATGAAAAAAAGAAGAAAAATTAATATAAAAAAAATAAAGAGTAAAAATTTATGACTTTTTACAAAAAATTTGCATGAAACAGTTGAAGATTATGGTTCTTGTTAACATGTCAGAAGCCAAGTGCGCTTCAAGGTGATCTTTATCGCTTCTTATCACGTTTTAACAATCTAACCTGTATATACCTACGACCTTCGTGAATCTAACCAACGTTACTGTTGAATCTGGTTAACCTACCTCTGTCTCTCACACATCTGTAGCGGTTAAAGATCTCTTTCTCTCAGCCACCGTATAACGGTCCTTTAGACTGAATTTCATCCACAAAAAAATAAACGAAAAAAAAAAAACAATCGGAACAGTTTCAGCAACAAGAAATAAAGAACGTCTACAAAATCTACTACATTATATCCTCCAAAACAATTTTGTTCTGCAAAAAGAAAAAAATTTTATTTGATTCAAATTGGTATTATCAAATAAATATTTATTTTAAATAATTATTATTTAATTAAATTGTAATTATATCAATTAAATTATATTTCCAAATACAGAAATTATTGGTTCAAATTTAATTTAAATAAAAATAATTCAATACAAATAAATATAATTTGTAACCAATTGGATAAAATAATTTTTTTCAGATTTCTCTTTATTTTTTCGTTTAATTTTTTTCTATCCTTAAAATACGAATTCAATTATCCTAGCAATAAAAAAAAAGGATGTTTAACGAGTTTCGCGTGTCATTTTTACCTCTCTGTTTTTTTTATTCTTCTTTTAACTTTTATATATATCGGTATAGAGAGAAAGAGCCTCCTCTGCATTTAGATTTCGAATAGCTCCCAGGCATCAGGGTGTCCCCCATGACGAGTGTTCGCTTTTGTTTAGTTAATTTTGTTCATCTCGTAAAATGTCTCTCCCTCTCTCTCTCTCTCTCTCATTCTCTTTTACTTATTCGTGAAGAAGTTGTAAAGTAAACATAGACACGCGAAGATAAAAAAGTGTAAAGGTAAGGAGAAGAGCGGAGAGAGAGACAAGAGAAAAAAAAGTAATAAGGGTGTAGTGCTTAGCTGTGACAACATCAGGAAAAGAATAAGTACTCACCACTTGTGCCTGAGTGATAAGACCCTGGGGGGTGCTTCGATCGTCCGCCATGGCTCTTCCGTCTGAAAGGAAAATGATCAATTAAAAATACCTTTACAATTTTTTAATACAGCTTTTTTTTAAAATTTAAATAGTTTAAGAATATTTTTTCTTTTTATAATAAATACAATTAATTACAATAATCAATACAATTAATTACAGTAATGAATACAATTAATTATAATAATTTATTATTTAATCATGTAACTATTATCATTAATTAATAATTTAATTAGTTATTAATTATTATTATCAATTATCAATCAATATTAATTATTATTATCAATTATCAATCAATATTAATTATAATTATTAAATAATATAACTATTATCATAATTTAATAATAATTAATCATACAAAATTTTCGTTTATGCAAAAAAATGATTTTAATTAACAAAAATAATTTTCGATTTATTTTATCGATAAACATGTCCAACAATTGCATTCTATATAGTATAAATATATATAATAATTACAATACCGCGTCAGTCATTGTTCTCAAGTTCCTTAAGTTAAATATGACTAATATAATACTTATCAACAATTTTAATCAATAATTCTTTGTTAAATTCATTCAACAAACGGTGACAATAGAAAAAATTTTTAAAAAATATATTCTTTACTTTTTTTATTCTTTTATTTATGTCGAAAATTATATTATTTGAAATCGTGATTTAAAATAATAATTATAATAATAAATAAACAAATATTAAAGAAATAATAAATAAATAATAATATAACTAACGAAGAACGTTAAATAATTATAATTAATTATATAATGAACAATTAAAATTCTATCTCTTAAGATAAAAATTTAAGACACTAATTAGGTTAACTAAAAATATTCCCCATATCAATTAAGACGAACATTAAAAAGGACTATATGAATATTGAAACGAACAATTAGAAAATAATGACCATAACACAATAAATTATATACAATTTTTTTTTTTTTTTTTTTTAATAAATTGCAAAATTTTGTAAAAATTATTATAGAGAATCACGTGAAATGTCACAATTTTAATTGCATAATTTTGTTGAATATCGTCTCTCTAACATATTGAAATTAGTGTTTTTTTTTGCACAAACATCTGTTTTCAATTAAATTTTTCCCTTCCTAGAAATTATCATTACGAAATATATATATATATACATGAAATGTTAAAGGTAAAGAACAATTTTGTGAAGAAATAATTATATCTGCTAGAATAGTTTAATGTTTACGACATTAGCTAGAAAAACACAAAGAGAGAAGGATAAGTTGGTTCAATTTCCTGTAAAGTGTCGATGCTCCTTACGCAAGTTCATTGCAGATCATTTCGAACTTAGAACAATTCACACTAATCACTTATAATTGTTTCTCTAACTAAGCGCAAAAATTTTCTTTTCCTAGCTTCAATGAAATTTCTTCGAAAAATTTTCTTTTTATTTTTTTAATTAAAAAAAAAAAAAAAAAAAAAAATTGCAATAAAAAATAAATAAATAGAGAAAACAATGAACTGTTTTTTTATATAATAATATTAAAAAGTAAAAAAGAAAGTAAAAAGAAAATTGAATGAAAATAATTTCAAGCAATAGATAGGCATTTACAACTCATCAGCATCTTAATAAATATTTTCTGAAAAGGTTAAGAAAGGATTAAGATTGTAATCTTAACAGAGTAACGAGTCTTATATATACACTTGGATAAATTTTACTCGATTCGAAAGGTATAAGTACTTAGAGGATAAAATATTTTTAAGATTCTATTTTCGCGATAAGGTTCATGTGCCACAGAGAGCAATATAAGAAAAAGAGCGATGATCTAAAATTGAGAAAAAAAAAATGAACCAATAACGATTACAATAAAATAGCAGAAATCAAAGAGAAGAAAGTTGAAGAAACTATATATATATATATATATATATATGCTTTCTATATATAGTCAAAATATATTTTGCGCAAATTATTCAAAGAATGCAATTTATTTCACTATTCTATATATACATATATACAATTGCAATATGTAACAAGAATCGTATCTGTATATATATATATAGATATAAGAAAACTCTCAAACCTTCGAAATTCTATCTTTAGAGTTTCACGACACGGTTTGCTCTCTCGACATCGTCGGCTAAACTCTAATTCTAATTTCACCAGTGCTAGCCTTCCGCCCTCGCGATTCCGCTTCCGGGATAATAATAACCAATTCCAGAGAAATCCAGGAGACTTCAATATACACTGTCCCAAAAACTTTCCTTCAACTTCTAATTACTTCTCTTTTTTTCCCTCCCTTCATTTTCTTATAATTAAAATATAAATGATGATCATTTTTTTTTTTTTTTTTTTCATATAAGTGAATTTTTTTTTCTTATTTACACGAAAAGTGAGAATTTTTTTTTAATAAATAATTATTTATAATTATATCATAACTTTATATTATTTTAATAATAATAATTATTATAAAACTATGATTATTTATATATTTCTTAAATTATTTAAATTAATACATAAAATAATTTTATTTGATTGAAATAATCATTTGACTATTAATCAAATAATTATACTTGAATCAAATAATTTTTATTGCCGCCATCAAATAACTTTTATTTGAATTAAATAAACTGTAATCGAAAATCAATAATTTTCTGTATTTGAGTCAAATAAATTTTTTTTCCTATGTAATTATTATTATTCATATAAGTTTTTTTATATATATTAAAAAAAATTTGTTTGAAAAAACCAAATATTGGTTGAAATAACAAAATTAAAAAAAAAATCACAGTTCAATCTAATTTTAATTAAAGAGAAAAAATTTCATTAATAAAACTTAGATTTATACTTTTGAAAAAATGAATTCTAATAAATTAGAAACAAAAACCAATAAATTTATTAATTAATCATATATTTAATCATAACAGTAATTTTTATAAATAATAATTATAATAATAATAATTATAATAATAATAATAATAATGTCGATCATTTTAAATGTTCAATATATGGTTTAAGATGTTAAATAGGCCAAACTCATTTACTTCAATTAACTCAATCAATTCTATATTGACAAGAATTAAGAATTGTCTAAAACAATGCGTTAAAACTTTTTTTTTTCCTCGTAATTTAAAAAAAAAAAATTCAATTCCCCTATAAATCCAAACTCTTTTGATATAAAAAAATTAAATTAAATTTTTTAATTAAAATTGATATATTTATTTATATCAAATAAAGATTTTATTTATATTAAATAAATATTTATTTGTATGAAATGAATATTTATTTATACTATATTATAATTATTATTTGAATCAATTAATTTTTTTTTCAGAAATTATTGATTCGATTGAATTCAAATAAAAATTATTTGATTGAATTAAAAAATTATTTGTCTGAAGAAAATATTTATTTGGTTGAAGTAAATATTTTATTTGATAACAGTAAAGTGACAGCAATTATTTGAATCAATTTTTTTGTTTGCAGTGTTTAATTCAGTTATTATAACTTAAAGAAATTAATGAGAAGTGCATATAAAAAAATTTAAAAAAAAAGAGGGAAAATTCCTAAAAGGTATTCTGGTCTTCTCGAATGGCAGACGGCGCGTGATATTTCTGGTTTAAACCCCTAAACCTGACATTCCAGAGAGTGAACGATCTCTCTCTCTCTCTCTTTCTCGTATACATATGTGTACCGAGAGATCTTTGGGAATTTTGCTAAAGCGAACAAACAGGTCAACGACCAGAAACTGACAATGCAGTGCTATAGTTTTATATATATCTATGTATATGACTATAGGGAATCTTGTTGATATTATTATTATTTCCTCTTTGGGCATATATTGCAAAAATTAACTCTCCCACTTCAAACCCTTTTTTTCCATAACACGATCGCCCCCCTGGTATAATATAAATATTTGTACTCAACTCAGTTAACGTTAATTTATTCAAAACAATGAATCATTAATAACACTTAAAATTTGTTTATTAAATTTGAATTAGTAAAAATTTTAACTAATTAAAAAAAAACAGTTTTATTATCGAATTAGTACTCTCTAAATTTGAATTAGTAAAAAATGAGCCACTAATAATTTAAACTAGTAAGAATTTTAACTAATCTTTAGTCACTTTTTACTAAAACTTTAGTAAAAAAAATTTTTAAACTACTAATTCAAATAGTAATATTTTACTAAAAATTAGTAAAAATTCTTACTAATGTGAATTAGTAGCTCATTTTTCACTAATTCAAATTTAGAGAGTAAAATTTGATTAATAGTAAAAAAAAATTTTACTATCGTATTAGTAAAATTTAACCATAAAAAAAAATTTACTATCGAATTAGTAAAATTTAACTAATAAATAAAATAATAAAATATTATACCAATAATATTATTTTTCATACAGTTTCATGATTTTCTATTCAATTTCAACTTTTTAAATTCCATATTAATAAATAGTAAATTTTTTTTTCTGATTTTTAAAATTCAGTTTCTATGAATGGAGAATTACAAAAAAAAAATTATTATTTTCTTCTACTATTTTATCTTTCAAAAAAAAAAAAAAAAAAAAGAGGAGGAAAATTAACATTGACACGCAAATGGTACAATAAAAAAAATTCATTTCGAAATAAAAGCGATGTACAACTTAATGAGACTTTCTATAGATGGTAAACTTTAAAATGAAAATTAACACGTTTGTCCCGCAAGGTAATTGTCGTTCGCGTGTATATTTAACGAATTTAACTCTCACTCCATATATATATATATAAACCCGGAGTGAAATGTTAACCACAAAAAAATACCGATTGTCGTTATACGAGTGTTAATTAAAATTTATTTTATTTTTTGTTTTAGCGAATAAAAAAAAAACTAATATATATCAATTAATTATAAACAACATATATAATACGTTTTGCCGTGTGAATGAGTCAATTGACCAAATATGTATATGTGGCAAAAAAAAAAAAAAATAATAAACTGGTTCTTGCCTATTTTTTTGCGAGAGAAAATTAATCACTTTTTAACAAATTAAATTTTAATTAACTTATTTTCAAATAAAATATATATTAAATAACTGCTGATCAAATTTTTACTTATATTGACAAATTGTTAATTAAAACTAATTAATATATCCCTTTTATTAATATAAAAAAGAGCAAAAAAAAATATATTAAATTAATTAAAAAAAATTTTTTTTTTAAATAAGGATTTTTCTCCCACACTATCCTCACGATACGAAACTTATAACCGTTTCTCAATGTTTGTGCGTGAATTTTTTTTTTTTTTTGATTCTTTTTTTTTCTTATTGCGTGAATCGCGATCAAAGGAAAAGAACTGGATTGAGATAAGTCGAGTTCTTTTTTTTTTTTTTTTTTTTTGGCGAATCCCTAGTCAACATTTTTCAACTTCCCACGCTCCTTTCTCATATTTATGCTTCTTCTATATAAACATAATATATAAAATACACGTAAACGTGTTTCTGGTTTCTTGGAAATATGAAACACGTGAGAGAAAAAAAGAGTTTTTTCCGTATCTTTTTAATCGAAAGAAAATTCTCATCTAGTTTTCGGTAGTTGTCATTTTTTATATATACGAAATTGCAAAAATTATATATTTGAAATGTTTGATTTAAAAAAAAAAAAAAAAAAAAAAAGTTTAATCTATTTTGAATTAGAAGAAAAAATTAACTAAACATTTTTTAACAATTAAAATTTGCGCGCATTTAAATAATAATTATCTATACTATTTTTCTAACAGTAGGAAACAAATTACGTAACGTAAAACAGGAAACACAGCCTATAATTTGATAATCATTTCTCACAATGTCAAGAAAAATTTTTATTCTATAAATAAAAATTATGTTAATTATTCCAAGTGTTAAAAATAAAATATATCAGTTTTATTTAAAAATTTTCAACTAAAAATTATTATTTTCTTTTTATTTAAAAACAAAGAAAATAATATAAGTTTTATTAAATTTTTTTTTAATACTACTTAAATAAAATTATTGTTAGGTATTTTAATTATTATTATATTATTATTAAATTTATACTCGAATTTAGAATTTTGTTCAAAATTAAAAATTTTAAATTAAAAAAAAAAAAAATACTCATTTATACAGAGGGACATTGAGCGATCTTGAGGTAATAATGACAAGATTATATTATGACATGAATCATTAAATATATATCTTGATGATGTTTTTTTTTTAAAAAAAAGAGAAAAAAAGAACTTGAAACAATGAATTTTCTATGCGTCACGTTAACTATTTATTGACAAATGAATATTAAAAGAAAATATTCTTAAAATTTATAAATATATAACGGATAAAAATAAGCGCGCATTTCATTTCCCATATTCAAATTGCAAACTTGAAATGTTACGTCGTTGCATATTACACTTGTTAAAATAATAATATATAACGAATATAAGAAACGTTATGTAGACACACACTATTATTTATTATATTCAAACCTGTAATTTTTTATATATATATATATATATTTATATGTGAGAAATTGTATAACAAAAATTTAGTCAATCCTCATATACAATACGAGAATGTAAATTGTATGTTGTAAAATTTACATTAATGTCACAAAACCGAAATAGAAATAATAATAATAATAATAATAATAATAATAATAATAATAATAATAATAATAATAATAATTAAAAATAATAATATAAAAAAATAATAAAATAAATAATATTTAATGTAATAAATAAATAATAATTATAAAAAATAAAAATTTCGAAACATATTTGTTTTGACTACTGGTTATGGAAAATGATAAGCACACATTTGGACATATGAATAATCGGTCATTTAGATTATTGATTATTAAAAGGCGTTAAGTATTTAAATTCAACGAGAATATCCGGAAATTTTTATTTTTATTTTTTTTTTTAGTAAACACATACACAAATATATATATATACATATAAATATGTATGATAAAACCCGTATAAACCGTTCACGATCGTCATCAGCATATAACCAAAGAATATGATTAAATATTCATGATGCGTGCTTTGAAACTTCTTAGTATTTCAAAATTGCCACATTCTCCACTATATATTTGTTTCGATTAACTCTCATTACCTAATGTTAGTGAAATAAGTGGGCGAATGACTTGAATTTTTAATTGCTGTATCTCCGTGTTTTTATATATAAATAAAAAAAAAAGAACAAATTTTTATTTTTAATTTGATATCTAAATTATTCTTTCTTTATTGTTTTTAATTTATTTTCAATTTATATCTAATTATTAATTAATTGCATTATTATAGTAATACAATATTAATAATTAGTGATGTAAATATTTTACATATTTTAATTTAATTGTACTATATTATACCTTTAAATTGACGTTTAATTAATTATAATTTAATTTTATTTTCATTCTATTAATTATTTAATTTTAATTATATTTATTTTTTATTTATTATTCAATTATATTTATTTTTTATTTATCATTTAATTATATTATTTATGTAATTTTAAAAATTAAATTAATTTAATTTATTATTTAATTTAATTTTTTTTTTATTTATTCGAACCAAAAAATGTATTTGAAAAAAATATCACTTAATTGACTCAAATAATAATTATATTTAATTTAATAACCAGATAAATGATTTATTTGAAGAAAATAAATATTTTTTATTATCAGTATAATTTTTAAAATATATAATGAAATTGTTACCCAACTTTTTTTTTTATTAACGCTTTGTCCAGCCATGAAATATACCTAAAAAGGTAATCTGACTTTTTTTTTGGTAAAAGAACGCGCGCGCAAAACGAGTCAATGAAATTCAATATCGAGACACTGAGTAGGTATATATCTTTAACTTCAACTCGCGTAAGTAATGGATGAAGAATTCGCAAGAAAGGGAGATAAATTAATAATGGAACAGAGGCGGAAGTTATACCAGACGAAAGAAATATATAATCAACGCTTTATTATTGTATACTGCCCTCAAATCTGAAAATAGCACTTAGTCACATTACAAACTCTGAAAAACTGTCAATCTAATTTTGAAAAAAAAAAAATATTTTTTTTCTCATTTTAATCAATTATTATTATAATAAATATTTATTTATTATTTTTAATTTTTTTTTTTTAATAATAATTGAAATTATTTGATTTTATTTAAGAAAAATATTTTGTTAAATAAATTTTAACGAAACGAAAGAAGGTGAGAGAGACGTCTATATAATGGAACTGAAATAATTGAAACATCATCTGAAATAATTAACGAGTCTCATTTCTGAGAAATTGCAGATGTGATTAAGGAATCTAATTGAATGCAAGACACGTTGGTAATGACACTCATGAGGATCTTATAGAATTTTGTTTTCAGACACTTGAAAGAAAGAGAGAGAAATAAATGTTTAGAAGGTTATAGAAAAAGAGGAGGGATAGATTAGAATTTCATTCATCTGATTGGCAGCTTTGACAGCAATGCAAAAAAAGAAGAAAAAATCTTGGCTGACCTTTTGTGTCGAGGAATGTGATCACCGATCGACTTCTCACGACCCTAAATACCAAGTCGAGAGACAAATTGAAAGAGCATCATCAACTAATAATCAATATCAGAAATGGTCAATCGACAAATTTATAAAATCAATAAAAAAAAAAAAAAATACCGCGAATCTTGTCAGAGAAATTGAAATTTTTAAAAATATAATAATAATAATAAAAATAATAATAATCCCTAATAATAGAATATATAATAATAATAATAATAATAATACATAATACATAATATATAATAGTATATATTATTATAATTATAATATAATAATAGGTATATAATAAATAATATAATTACAAAATAATTATAAATTATACAATGAAACAATTAATACAATTGCTAATCTAAATTATAAATAACTTTCCGATAACAATAAATAAAAATCAACTCAACGGATTAAGTAGGTCAAAAAAAAATTTTTATGGATCACTATAAAATTTATAAAAAATTTTATGATGAAAAAAAATATAATTGTTTTCATTCAATGCGAATTAAAAAAAAAAAAAAAAAAAGAAAAAAATTCTCAACTCTTGTTGAAATGTAGATAATAATAATAATAATTTCCACTCCTTGGAGAGAATATAAGATTTTAATGAAGCTTCTTTGTCGAAATAAAAAAATAAAAATAAAAAATGTATAGGCAGAGAAGAAAAATAATATATAGAATGCCATGAAGGAAGATATTAAGAATTAAGGTCAGTTTGGACTGTATTCAATCCTTGGACCGGATAAAGAGGAGACTGTTGGTGTTTCACGTGAGTAAGCCAGCACTTTTACCTGGGTGATTTGGACGGCCTCGTTAAGAAAGGGAACGCGATTTTCGTCGAAGATTACAATTTACGACTAAAACCTTTGTTTCTATAATGGAACCTGGGCAATAACTTAAAACTTCGATTTCATCATATACTCATATATAATAAGATTGAATCACAAATAAAGTCAAAAAAATTATTTTTTTGCAAAAATTAATATATAAATTAAAAAAACTAAAAAAATAAACAAATAAAATAAATAATAAAAAAATCAAAAATAAATAATTATAAATAGAATAATTAAAATAAATTTTATTTTAAAAATTTTTTGTTTTTTTAAATAAGAAATTTTATTTTGAAAAATTTTTGTTTTTTAAAATAAGAAATTTAATTTTCAAAAAAATTAATTATTATAAAAATAATAAATAAAAATATTTTATAATGAATTTAATTAAACTTTATGATTCTCTCGCTAGATGGACAAAGAAACACGAATCAAACATATTTTTCCCTTCTATAACTTGAATTTTTATTTAGGCCTCAGGCCCAGGTTATTTTTGTGTATAAGGGGTAGTAGTTTACCGTTACGAATTCTACATGACAGTCACTCTCCGAAACCATATAAACTAAAAATACGTTAAATATATATATATATTTGCAAACTTACGTTATTTTTTTAAAATTAGTCAACAAATAAAAAAATAATCTTAGAACAATGGTAAAATAAAATAATTTACGTAAGTATTACAATTATTCTCTAAAACACTTGGAAAAATTAAATTTAAAAAAATTAAATTTATTAAAAACAATTTGAAAAAGAAACGATTATCGTTTAAATAATGTATTAAATTTGACCTTGAAAAATACAGATGGAAATAAAATTGAAATATGATAAATTAAAATTATAATATTATTTACGAAAACTTTTACAGAATATATATATAAGATGATTGTAACAACATAAATTATAAGAATCTGAAATATTTTATCCAAAGTGTTACGAAATTTTTGTGAATGCCAATCGATCAGCTGAGTGTGATTCCTCTCTCTCTCTCTTTTTTTCTTATTCAACTTTTTGAATTCAAGGTAAGTTAATTAAAAAAAAAAAAAAAAAAATTATTCTAAGAGTACCAAAATTTAGTCTCTTTCGTTTTAGTTTTTTTTCGGGAATTAATAATGAACGAGAAAACTGATACAACAAATATGGGAATTCAATCTTTAAATGAAATAAAAGATGACAAAAACGAGGAGAATAAAAACAACCGGAAATCATTTCAAGACGCATTTCAACAATATTTCAATACTGAAAATCAGGGACATAATATGCAAAAAATTGAAGATAAAAACAATTTTCAAAGTGCTTATGAGGAATGGCTGACTGTTTATCGTGAGAGTAAATTAAAAATTCATCACGATGACAAAGAATTATCAGATAATAACGAAAAAAAATAATTTTAATATTTTTTATATTTTATAGGCTGTGGTTCTATTTTTGTATAATTATTATTAAATAAAAATTATTGTATAGAAAATTGTCTCAATAAAACTTTCTATATTTTTTTTTCTCAAATAGAAAAAAAATTTTGGTAAAAAAAATCTATTTTTGTATTATCATATTTATATACACTTTCATGAAACAATAAATTAATTAAAGTGCGAAAATATAAATGACTTTATAGCTACTTATTATTATTATTTTTTTCTGCTCGAGTGCAAAAGACATAGATAGAATTCTCAGGATCGAGATCTCGTAAGGAATTCGATATACGTGTAGTAGAATATTCTTTTTTTTTTTTTTTTTTTTATTACATAGTCACAGTAGATTATCCACACTAATCAAAGACGTGATATAGTTCCATTCTGCCACTTGAATGACGTAATATTCAACGACCGTGATGATCAACAATATATAGAAGAAAAAAAAAATTTGCAAATTAAAAAAAAAAAATTTTCAAATTTTAAATAATTATTAAAATCTATTCTAAGTATTTTAATTTCAAAATAATTATTTAAAAACAAATCAAGATGTTATAAATTAATTTTGAAATTAAAAATAAATCCGTCAATGATTAATATTTATGTAAATTAGAAGAAGGAAAGAAAAAAAAAATTAATTCCATACACTATAAATTGGAGAAAAATTAGAATGATTGATTAGATCACCAAAAATATAAATTTGAAATTTTTGACATTTGTTAATGGTTCCTGAGTTGGAAAAAAAAAATTAAAATCATTTCTCTCTCTCTCTCTCTCTCTCTCTCTCTCTCTCTCTCTCTCTCAAAGATTAGTGGAATAAATTTTTTTGTCCCAGTTGTTAAAATACACTAATCCTCTTTTCGCACTCTGCCAATCCTCTCTTTACCAAACGATAAAATTCTTTATGGCCGATACAAATTGCTTTGCCATGAATGCATTTCTTTATCTGATATTTATTTTTATATTAGAAAATATGTTCTCAACTTTCAAGAAATCATCTACAAATTTAAAAAAAAAAAAAAAAAAAAAAAAAATTAAAAAAAAATCCCATTTGTTTTTTTCTAGAAAAAATTGCATCGAATTTTGCAATGAAAAAAAAAACATGAAAAAGCCATTTAATGAATGATTTCTAAAAGGTTTTTCTAGTCGATTGTGTGAGATTTAAAAAAATATGTGTATGTAAGTGATAAAAATATATATATATTCAAGTTCAACAGAGTGACGACATATTTGACAAAGCAAATTTTGTGGTCCTGAAAGGCTAATGAATTCAGTGTTGTATGAGAATGAATAAAAATTGAAAACAAAAAAAAAATGAGAGAGAGAGAGAGAGAGAGAGAGAGAGAGAGAGAGAGAGAGAGAGAGAGAGAGAGAGAGAGAGAGAGAGAGAGAGAGAGAGAGAGAGAGAGAGAGAGAGAGAGAGAGAGAGAGAGAGAGAGAGAGAGAGAGAGAGAGAGAGAGAGAGAGAGAGAGAGAGAGAGAGAGAGAGAGAGAGAGAGAGAAGGGTTGAAGAAAAAGGTTTTGCATCGATTTTGTTGTGCTCAGTAAAGCAGAAGTAAATTGGTTAAAGTCGAGTTCAATCTTTACAATGAAAAGGCGACAACAACGTGAATTCTCGTCTCTTGGAGAAAAAAGAAAAAAAAAAAAAAAAAAAAGAATGTAACACGATCCTTGCAAAACGAAACGAAGCAAATGTTTTACAAAGTATTCCTGACAACAAGTATAGATTTTATTATGTATACGTTTTCGTTATGCAATCGGAAAAATCTCATGTTGAACATAAACAAATTTTTCACTATTTCTTGATCGACAAGCTGACACCTTACATAATGTTTTAAGACAGCGAATTATATATATCTCTACAAAATTACTTTCATAATCAAACTTCTGGTCTTTAAAACTTTCTCCCACCACACACAAAAAAAGGAAAACTAATTTAAAAAAAATAGAATATAAAAAAAAAAATTTTTTTTGAGCAGCTAATTTTATATTTTAATTTTTATATTAAATATCTCGTCGCGATGAAAAATATATATGAGATTCCCGATTCTTGTATTATATTTTGATTTAATCACAATATTCGCAAAATGTTATGTAAGTATATAGAAAAGCGAATACAATGCTTTTCGTTGAAAAAGTTTTCTTCGAAAGGTCATCGCCCTGAGGTCGCGAGCGAATCGTCGAATATCGCAATATCTTGAGGCACTCATTGAAAGAGAAATCGCTTTTTCCGTAGAAAGTTCCGTTTATCCATTAACGCGTTTACTCTAGAGCAAATTCAACAAAAATCGCCAAAAAATTAAAAAAAAATTTCACTTTTCGAATATTAAATAAGAAACTAATATCAAATTCGGTTGAATAAAAATTTCATAAAAAAAAAAAAAATAAAATAATAAAATACACGTTTCGAATAAAATGACATTGAACCAAGAAAACCATGTTGATTCAATATATCGTTTTCATGTCTGTAATTTCTTATCGTTTTCAGATATTTCTGTCATGTTGCATTATAAATTTATAAATTGAAATTTCAATTTCTGAGAATATTATTATTTTCTACAGAACATAAAAAAAAAATTATTTTCCCGAGCAGCTACAAATTTTCTTAGGACCCTGAAATTTTAGTTTCTTTTTTGTTTCAATTCCCACTTTTTTTCGCCCTGACCGATAAAGCGACACCTTGACTTTTTCACGATGGAGACAAAAAATAAATTAATGAAGGAAGTCAATATATAAAATTACTCCCATTTGCCCGTAAAATGTAAACGATATCCGGCTAAATATAGTAAAGTCAGGTTAGGTTCCCCCCCCCACCCCTCATATATATATATATATATATATATATATATATATATATATATATATATATATATATAAAGGTGTAATTTTGCAAACGAGTTTTGCATCGCAATTACACGTATTATTATTACTCAGTTCGCTTATTTGATGTAAAAGTGTGTAATTGCATCCTCTTATTCGAAAGACCCGTACCGTTGCTGTGCGTGCATCAAACTGGGTACTTAATCGGTTTGTCCTTCATGAAAAGAAGAACGAGGTGTTCAAAAGAAACATGATAAAAAAAAAGAAGTGAAGCAAACCAAAAAAAAAAGATTCATAAAAAAAATATATATATATATATATATATATAAATCGCCTCGACGAGCGAAAGCTGTTAAAAGAACGCAAATTCCGATTATTTTTGGAGATTGAAAAAAATTGCTTAAAAAAAAAAATAAGAGAGAAATTCTCTTCTCTGGTAACACGAGAGCAATAAATGTGACGTATCTATGTTCTATTGTTGATAAGTTCCGTGATTTTTCGAGAGACATATTTCTTGACAATACTGATAATTTCAATAAGATAATGCTGACTTGATCCCGGATATCAGAGACACTATGATAAGAATGAGTAATTGTGAAATGATCGTCCTTAAGACAAAAAAAAATATCCTTTTCTAAATCAATTCACATTTTATAACTCATAATTCCCATCAAGAAAAGTCCACAAAGAAGAAAATACCTCAATCTAACCTCAAAATTAAGAGAAAAATTTAAAATCATTTAATAATTTTATTCTATTTTCTCACATTATGTAAAATAGACAAATATCAAATGTCAGTAAATGATTCCTATTTACCTTTTTTTTTTGAAGTGAGATCTCAAATATTCAATATTGACTTCTTTTACAGATTAAAAATATCACTTCTAAATAAGAATCACAGAAAGTAAATATTCTCAGGGCATTCACATTTTTTCTATGATAAAAATGCACTATTAGTCTAAACTTTACTAATATTTAAACCGAAATTTTTTTATAAAAAAAAGCACAGAATTATCAAAATACATACCAATTTTACGAAAAACGAGTTTCATGCATATTCTTTCATTTCTAACCTAATAGAACAAAAAAAAATATTTCGAAACCAGGGCTATTAAAACTGTATAATCTCTGGAATCGCTTATATATAAAAAAAACTTAACCTTAAAAAAAACGGAACGATAGAAAAGTTTTTTCACGCACTTGAAATAAAAAACGACTGTTACAAAATCCATAAAGAACATACCTAAAAAACGATGAACAGTTATCAAGTTGCACCATCGATGAATCAAAACAATTGAAGATCCAATAAAAATATACTCGAAAAAAAAAACACCAACAATAGCAAAGTATTTCAGCAAAATTCTCTCGTACTAAATTTTTTTCCCCCTTTTTTTATTGTTATGCATATATGCATAGAATATGGTCAAGTGGTGCGCGCACAAACAATCTCATTAAATAATAAAGAGAGCTGTTCCCATAGCATATACATGTATACACAACACAACCGACGTCTATTTAATTTTTTTTTTATAATTCTACAAAATCATAATGAAAATTCATGTCAGGCTTTATACAGGCGCTAAGGAGATAACGAGACCGTGAATGTCGATCGACTCGTTCTCCATTCAATTGATAAAAAAAACAAGCGAAAAAAAAAATTCTCAAGAGCCTTCGTTCACCAGATCAAATACTCTCTCAACAATAACCGGTTCAGGGGGAATGAAAAATCGAGAAAATCTAGAACATTGAAGTGAACTTACCTCGGAATCCCACAGGCTCCCCGTGTCGTTGACAATACTCCACATCGGTTTTCAACCCGCCGTCATATTCCACCTGGAATAGCACTCACAACAGAGTTTTTCACAGTGCACTGGCGTCAGACGCATACTCCACGGGATACGCGAAAGGATAAAAGCTGCAGGACGCCAAGTGACAGGTTGATGAACACCAGCACAAACACAACGCGACACAAATTAATCTGATTTTAATTATCAGTCACTAATATAGATATTTCTTTTTATTCGGTCAAGGAGAATATTACGATTTGATGTTATTGAATTCCAAACACGTTCTGTCGTACTCCAGGCGGCTCTATATTAACGGCACGACCGCGATAACATGGCTGAACATGGCGGACTATCCCGTCGTCTTTCGATTCGTGCGACTTCGGTTTTTTTCGTAAAAAGAAAAAAAAATCGACATCCGCGCGCCATCTGGACGTGAAAATGATAAACGCGCGGGAAAATTTGTTAAATTCAAATTTTTTTATTTGAAATTATAGAAAAAAACTTTAATTAATTATTTAAGATATATCGAATTTTAATTAAATAATTATTAAATATATAAATATATCAAAAAGATAATTTAAACATAAAATTTATGTAAAAAAATTATTTTTGTTAAATTTTAAAGACTATTCAAGTGAAATTAAAAAAAAACTTTTTTAATTAATTATTTTAAATACTTATATCGAATTCTAATTAAATAATAATTATTTAATTTAATATTAAAATATCAGAAATATAATTTAAACATATTTATAAAACAATTGTTTCATTTTAAAGGTCATTAAAGTGGATTTTTAGTTTAAAATAATTTATTAAGTCATCAGACTACGCATTTTCAATTATTGATTTCATTTGATTTAATAATAACAATAATTAATAATAATATTAATATAATAATAAAAAGAATAATTTTAAATGTGTATAATACATTACTGAAAATATAATCACAAATTTTTTTTATATAAAATTAAATTAAAATCAATTCTAAACCTATAAATGTCTTTGATATAAAATTCTTCAAAGAATTAAAATGCTTTAAAACAGATCTTTCTTATTGACAAAAAATTAAAAGAATATTTAAAATTAATTACACTGCGTCTAATTGAATAGTACACAGGAATATTTTATAAGTTAATTTGTTTTTGTTTTGTTTTTCAGGCACAGGATTAAATTTGTTTAATATTATTTACATTATTTTTTAACATTAGTTGATGTAATGCTAATTGAACGCGTAATTCAACACACGCATCCTTTTCTTCTACAATGCTGCGAATTAAAGTTGTCATTTTTTTCTAAAAGGAAAAAAAAATTAATATATATATTTTTTTTAAATTAATTTTTTATAAAGTAATAAATAATTACCTCTAGTAATTGATTTTCGCTTGTTATTTGAATAATAGCTGCCACATCAAGATCATTGGGTGTATGATTTTTGTCTCTTAATTTTATTTCTTTACTTTCTCGATCTGCAATCATTTCCAGTAATCTTTCAATTTCAAGTTTCTCTTGAATTAATCTTGTCTTTAATGATGTCTTCATATTCAATAGTTCCTCGTGTATTAAACTTTCACGTAGTTTGTCAAGTGGATTTTCTACTACAGGTTCTGGTACTGCAAAAAATAGAAATAATTAAATTAAAAAATATGAAATATTATAATTTTGAAAAAATATAAAATTAAATTGAATATTTTTGTTTGAATTTATACCTTGTACATTCGTTTCTGATTTGCTGCATTCTTGAGTAACATTAACTTGACTAATTGAGCCTGATTCGACATGATCGACTGTATCTTTATCCACCGATGATGCTTTACTATCTATTAATCCTGATCTACTTTCTTTTGAAATATCAATATTTCTTGATTGATTATTAAGTTTTGAAACAGTTTCAGATTGAATTTGTATTTGTGACTTTTGCTGCCTTGTATCATCTTCTGAATTTGGTTTTAATTGCTTACTTTCTGCATTGATTTCATCATTAGATTTTGTTTCTTCGTCGATACTTTTTTGAATTGTACCCTCCAATTTTTGGACCGTTTTATATTTTCTCTGAATTTTAATTGAAAGGAGAAAACAATTAATCTCAAACAGAAAAAATATTTAAAATTTATAATTAAATTAAATACTACCTTCAATTGTGTAATCATACGCTGAACTTCCCATAATTGTTCTTCTCTTGATTTTGTCACAAAACCGGCATTCATTTGCATGTGAATTTGTGAAAGTAAAGATTCTTGTTTCGCCAATTCGGCCGCTATACTTTCCGCCATATCGGGCAAACAAGTGCTTCCAGCCGAAAGTGGAGGAATGTATTTTGATAATTGAATATTGGGAAATAGAGCCTTACAATGAAACAATAAAGCCAACAACAATCGATGGCTCATTTGTAAAACTGGACTCAATGTCATTGCAATTGTTTGAGCATTCATTTTTGTAGTTTTTTCCTAAAAATGAATTATAAATTAATACAATTATGATAAATTTAATATTTTTAAAATTATGGGTAAAAAAAAATACTTACACACATTGTAATGTGATCCAAATGTAAAATAACCCAGGCAAGAAGAACTCGATTGCATTCAGGTAATTGTTGTGTCAATTCCGCAATTTGTGATTCTCTTTGAGCAACTTCTTTGGTAGAAGCTGCTTGTTCAAAACGTGATATAATTTCACTGGTTTCCAATACAGGTTCTGGTAGTTCTCTTTAAAAAGTAAATTATTTTAATTAAATGTAATTTAAAAAAAAAAAAAACTAAATTATTCACCAACCTTAAGAATAAAGTTAATAAACTAGCAGCAACTGTGGGTTCAAAATCTCCAATATTTACAGGATCACGTTGATTATACATTTTTTTTAAATTTTGAACTTTCGATTTTACTCCGGGAACTTTGTAAATTCCTTCAACAGACATTCCATGTTCTTCAACGAAATCGATACAATCCCTAACGATCAATGGCAATTCTACGCCATCGTGACAACGACTTCTTTCAACTGCTAAATGCAAACTAACACCAAATATTGGCTGCTCTTCTAAAAAAAAATAATAATATATACATTTACATAATTCAACAATAAAATAAAATAATTTTAATTAACAAAGATCTTTTTAAAAAAAACAAGAATTATTACCACCGATATCTAAACATTCATCTCCATGTTTTCCTTTTTTGCGATCTTTCACTTTTTGTTTTGATTTTTCCTTATCTTTTCGCTTTTCTTTATCACCATCCTTTTCATCTTTATCTTTTTTCTTCTTGTCTTTATCCGAATCTTTCTCTTTTCCATCTTTTTCTCGAGACTTTTCGCGTTTCTCCTTTTTTGTCGGAAACTTAAAGGCTTTGGTTTTTTTATATTTTGAAGGACTCCTGCAATATTTTTACAAAAGCAAAATTAGAAAATATAGCGATTTGTATAGAATAATTTAAATATTTTACTTACTTTGTTTCTTGATCCTCATCTGGTGAACTTTCACCCTCTAAAGTAGCATAACCTCTGTCTTTCTTATCTTTTTTATCCTTTCGCTTTCCCCCAAGAAGATCTTTCTTCGAATGCTTCTCGTGTCCACCTTCATCGCTAACTAATTTATTTTTTAAAGAATTTATATTTAAATTCACAAAACAGAATTTTTCAATTTATAAGAAATAAGAAGGGGGATTAAATAATATAATCTCAATCAATTGTTATTGCAATTATAATTATTAAACTATAAAACTATCTTTTAAAAATTTAATAATTAAAGAAAACCAATTTTATTTTCTACAAATAAAAAAAATCTTTTCTTTTTGACAGCTATAGAATTCTGTCAAAAGAATAGAAAAACACTATTTATTTAAGAATATATTGCAAAAAATTAATGTTTTTAAAGAATAAAATTATTTTACAACTTATAAAATAATTTTAACAAGTAAATTTACTTTTAAAATGTTTTTATAAAAGAAAATTTGATTCATTTGACAGATTCATAACCTGTACCAAAAGATAATTTACCGGTGAATTAATGATTTTAAAAACACTTACAATCACTCTCGTTACTCTTCCGTGCTGATTCAGATGCATAAAGTCCTGGAAACTCCTTTTCAACATCAGGGCTTTCAAAGTCCATTATTTTTTCTTTATTTTAAAACAATAATCCATGAAAATTTTACAATTTGTAGCAGACGATTCTAAGAAAACTGAAACTGAAACTATACAGCAACATAGAGAGGCAAACTATACTTAAAAACCAAAACTTAAAGGCAATTTTTCATGAAAAATACTCAAAAATCAGTTGAAAATATGATTTAATGGTATTTAAATGAACATGTGTGTTTGACAACTGACCAAGTATTTATTTATTTACAATTGTTTAAAACAAATGTCATCGAACAGTAAATAACAATAATTGTAATTTATAAATTTAAAGTTTAAAAAAAAGACTAAATGCAATGGCACACAGAGCTCTTATGGGTTTGAGAAATAATTTAATTCGTAATAATATGCAAAACATTGAACAACGTTTCAAATATCTTTTAATTCTTGATTTTGAAGCAACGTGTGAAAAATTTATTAAAATAAATCCTCAAGAAATTATAGAATTTCCATGTGTTGCAATATCAACTCAAGATTGGCAAATAAAAGATGTTTTTCATGAATATGTGAAACCACGATTTCGTCCTAACCTAACACCATTTTGCTCTGAACTCACTGGAATTGTACAAGAAATGATTGACGATAAAGCATATTTTCCAGAAATTATGAAACAATTTATAACATGGATTGAAAGGGGTAAATATTTTGAGGATATAAATAAAAGTGCATTTGTCACGTGCGGTGATTGGGATTTAAAAACAATGTTACCATCACAATGTGAAACTGAAGAATTAATTGTTCCTAATTATTGCTTTGAATGGATTAATTTGAAAAAAATTTTTTGTGATGTCATAAAAGTTTATCCTCATGGAATTATTGATATGCTTGCACGACTTAATATTCCACAAATTGGACGACTTCATTCAGGAATTGATGATGTAAAAAATATGATTAATATAATTGAAAGTTTGGGTAGAAATTATAATACAAAATTTGACATTACTTCAGGAATACATCATAAAAATTTTCCCATTTATCAAGGTTCTTATAAATAGATTTTTGTACTCATTTTTTTATAAATATAACTTTATAACTCAATTACGAAATTTCAATTATTTCTAATGATTTCAAAAAAGAATTGATCACAAGTTTAAAAGAAGCATTAATATATTATTTTTAAACATTACAAAAATATTGAAAAGTAGAATAATGTACAGACTAGGAATGGTTAGACAGAAGCTATAATTTTTTTTTAATGCCTTACAAACTAGTTTTATTTTAAAATTTATTATTTTCATAACGCTTAAATTGTTTAAGAGTTTTATCACCGTTTTTGAGAAATTATCCAATTTATAAATACGATAATAAAAGTGACGAATTAAAATAAATAACGAATAGGCTAAATCGCTAATAATTAAATAACGTTTATACATTAAAAAATCAACATTGAATTAATTTTCTGTAAAGTACATAATTAAAATTCATTGATTCTTTTTAGAGCGGCGATAAATTTCTTACAGAATTTAAACGTTCATTATTGTATACTCGAATTGTGACTTCGCGCTTATCGTTTGCTGTATAAATTTTAAGAATTGCTTCAAAATTTTTTGTCACTTGTTTTTTACATTCCACTTTAAGAGAAAGACTTCTTCCAGTGGGAATCATTCCTGAATTTGGTATCACAGTTAAGCAATTTAGACCATTTGATAAAACTGTCTCAAAAGGTTGTGCGACTTTAGAATTTGTTGATATTACAATTGTTGCTTCATTTTTAATTGATGGATTTAATGTTACTTCATTTGGATTAACGATAAATGCATCTTCAACATCTCGAATGAAATGTTGATTAGGTGTTTCTAGTACGGATCTAAAAATAAATTTTTTTTTTTTTTATAACAAAAAATTCATAAAGATTAATATTTTGTTTCGTAAAAAATAATTGACTTACTCAACAGGCAAATAACTGTCGCCAGTAACTGTGATATCATTACAACTGTCACTGCAAAGTGAATAAAAAGTTTGTGTCTCATCCATATCGTCTTGTAACATGGTCATTGTTTCATCAGCGCTCGATTCCACAGTTAATTTTAATTCCTGATAATTAATTCCTCTTGCCAAGTCACCGAGATTTGACTATTAGAATAAATTTTTAATTTAATTTTTCTTTTTCCTAAAAAATGTATTTAAAAAAAAAAAAAACTTACGCTTGAATCGCGAACCAATGTGAGATCACGAATAAAAGTTTCGCCAGGAAAAGCTTTACAAATTGGATGTACTTCATTCCAAAATTCTTGATCTTTTGTATTTTGTGGAGCCGATTCTTTCATCTTATAGAATAATCTGAAATTAAATTTTTCAAATATAAAAATATTAATTTTTATCAATTACAAGTGAAATTTATCATCCATGAAAAATATATTGAAATAGAGAATAATAAAAAAAAACCTGCGAATTCGTAATCGTGTTGGTTCATCTCCATGAGTGAGTTTCAATGTTCCCACATGGCTCACGGTATTTTTATCCAACAATCGTAAATCTTCTTTTCGTGGACGAAAAACGAGAGAGACCCATTGTTCTTCTTTTGGATTAAGTAACAATTTCGAAGGTTCCACAGACCAGCTAACAGCCATTGATGGATAAACAGCTTTTGGAATTAATTTTAATTTAACGTAACATGCCAAGTCTCCTAAATTTTCGAGTTTTATTTTTGCATCCAATGATCCACCGCTCATTTTTCCAAGCGAGAGCCACATTAGACCTCCGGTATCTTTAAATGCTTTGGAAATTTCTAACTTCGTACTTCCGCCATATCCAAACAGTGAGATCTAATTTTTAGAAAAGAAAATAGTTTTTTTTTACTGCTTTTATTATATTAAAAAAATTTTCTGTTGTTTTCTTACCGTTTTATGTGGTCGAGATTCTAAATTATCCTTAGCGTGCGCGTAATGTTGGAAAAAAACTCTTCCGGTGGCCGCTCCTGCAGAATGAGGACTAAAAACAACAGTTATTGTTTTACTCTCAGCTGGTTGAAGAGTTAATGCCAAAGAATTTGCCGTTGTTTGACGATCTCGTATGAACTGAAAATAAAAAAATATTCAATAGTAATTAAATAAAATTTAATATTTTTCTAATAATTATAATAAATAATTACCTTGAAACTCTTATCTTTTGACGTGATAGAAGCGATAAGTTTAATTTTATTGTTACTTGAATTTCGAATTGTAAATTCTTTTGAATCAGATTTTCCAACTCGAATACTGGTCCAAGTTAATGAGGAATGTGTGGCACGAATTGGTAAAATATCACCTGCAATTGTTGAACTCGTCACTGAACCTCCAGGTGAATCTCTTCCCGAATTAGGTGATCTATTAAGTGGTGAACTAGGAGAAGATATTGTTCTTAAATGTTGAAGTGTTTCTGATTGAAAACTTTCGTATGTTTCTTCAACGGGTGATTCAATTTTTCCAATCACAGGATATAGGGATGTATTTTTTCCTGCTGTAATTTTCACCATTACGTGCCTAGAAATTTATTTATAAATATAGTATTAAAAATTGAATTTTACTATTTTTATTATTTGCAAAATTCTTACCTTTCTGGTTCATTGGAATTTCGTGGCATATATGAAATTGAAAATGAACCATTTTCGAAACAATGTAAAAATAGAGTTTCAGGTCTCACTACAAAATCATCGCAGAGTTTTTCATTTTTTTCACCTTCATTTTCGACAATCATTGCTGATAATGGCATTCCAATGCTTCCAGAATTATAGAATGTCAATGATCTACTTTGCATTTTAGGTATTGTAATCGGTAATTCAGTATTTATTACTCTCAATTTACAAATTCCGATTGAACCAAACAATGATATTTCGTTTATTACAATTCCTGGATCTGCTTGTGAATTTGATTCGGTTTGAAGGACTATTTTACCTTTTATTTTCCGCAAATTATTCGATGACTCAAATCCTGTAAAACAAAAGATTTTTAAATATAACATTTTTTTTTTATTTTTAAATTAAAATTTCTTACCTTCAAATAAATTTAACGCAATTCCTTGAAATTCAATGTTCATTGTACAACGTTCTCTTGATTTGAGAAAGAATTTTACCAATTTAGTGGAATTTTCATCATTTGATGATTCATTGTCTGCTTTCTTTATACTGAATGTAGTTGGTTCCTCCTAAAGACCGAAAAAAATATATTAAATATTTTTTAAAAAATAAAAATTTATACAGTATATTAAAATATATACTTGTAAAATAAAAAGAATGAGAGGAAGATCAATGCAATTTTTGTTTTCAAATGTAATAGGCAAAATTTGCGATCCATTTTGTGTAATTGCATCGAAATTGAGTTCCATTTTATTTGTTGGTGTCACAACATCAATTTGTAATTCTTCTGATACAAAACATATTATATATTTTGAATCCCATCTTGATTGAGTGACAAAATCAGTTGTTGCTATATTTAAAACGGCAATTATTGGAGTTGTCGTTTTTAAAATTTTTACTTCGATCTAAAAAAAACAAACAAATGAGAGAAAAGATAATTTAATTTTCAAAATTATAAAATATTCACTACTTACTTTGAGAATACCTGAGGAATAAGGATTTACTAGTACATTAACTGGCAAAAAAAATTCAATGGCATCACTATCGCCTTGAATTTGATTTAATGTCACAGAAAGAGTTATCCAACGGCCACCTTTATTCATTACATCTAAATCAATTTCTTTTCTTATTCCTACAACACACATGCACAATTCTTGTGTTTTTTTGCCAATTATAATATTTTCTGCAAAAAAAAAAATAAAAATATTAATTTAGCTGTCATTTGAAATGCAAAAATTGAAAATTCGAATATTTCAAACCTTCGAGACTCGTATGAAGACTTGAACTAAGCGATGATTCTTTATTTATGGAAAATTGTTCATTCTTTAATTTTTCCGCTAATGGGCTTGATGTTTTTATTGGAAAACTTGGAACCTCGTATTTTTCATTCATAGGAGAACCTTTTTTAATGTAAATTTCTTTTAAATTCTCATATTTTGATTGAGGTGAACTTTTTCTTTCCTTCGGTGAATTTAATGGAGATTGATTTGATTTTTCAATAATTGGTTTCGATTCTAAATTGAGAAAAGAAATATTTTTTTTATGAAAAAATTATATTTATAAAATATATATATATTTTTTTTAGTTTACATACCGGGAAATGAAAGTTCATTTTTATTTTCCTTGAGTTTTGGAAGATCCATAGAAACAACAGTCGAAGATAAAATTCGTGGTTTTGGACTTTCGATTTTATCTACTTTTGAAGTAGAAGAAGAAGCCAATGTAAGGGAACGATTTTTACTCAAAGAACTTTGTAGTGTTCGACTGTCGAGAGAAAATTTACTCGTTTGATTTTTTAATGTTCGGTCATTATAAGAAGAATCATTGTCAATTTTCTCAGCTTCCAATGTATGAGAAGTTGAAGCAGGCATTGAATTTCGATTAAATGACATTACAGTGTATGTATCGCTAATTGGTGTTGGATCTTTTCGCTTTTTATTCGCCATTATTAATTGATCCACCAATTTTCGAGGTGTTCCATCGTTTATATTTTCAAGCACTTGAGCAATACTACTCAAACTCATTAAACTTTCTTTTGTCATGTCAACTGTACTTGAAAAATTATTCATTTCTTTTTGACCACAAGCCTCTGAAACTGTTATCAATAAATATTTTAAGAAAATTAACTTATTAAAATAAAATTAGATTAAATTTTTCAATTTACCATTTGTCATTCCTGTAATATTAACTAAAGCTTCCATTTTTTCTCTCTTTTTTGGACTTCTAATTGAAAAACCAAGACTTGGTCTATCAACTGCTTCAGTTTCGGATAGTTCACCAAAATTTCCACATTTACGTTTAAAATATTCACCAAATGATAATTTGTGTCCATTATCCGATCTGTCAACAATAATAATAAATTCAAAATTTGTTTACTTTGGGAAATAGAAAAAAATAATTAATATATAAAATCTTACTCAATTGTTAAATCAACATCGCCAATAATTCCAGAGAAACATGAAAATTCTAAATGCTCCTTCTCGGGAATATTAGTACTTGTGGGCATTGCAAATTTATAATTTTCTCTCCATGATAATTCATCGGCATCTAATTGTTTCATTAATCCAGAATTGGAACGAAATTCTTCTTGACCAAATTGTGCCATCATTTCAGCGGCAGTTGAATTCATACTAAATGCAGTTTGCGATGTATTTTGCATTGAATTTCCAGATATTTTACTCATTTCCGAAGAACGAGCTGCTATTTCACGTGGTTCAAATAAAACACTCGATGACAATGATGTTTTAGGAAAATGTAAATTTTTTTCATCATTATCAAAAGATTGTGTAGAAATTTGCTCTTTCATTTCTTTAGAATGTGTTTCACTAATTCTATTTTGAACATTTGCATCATTTTCCTTGTCTGTTTTGTCTTCATTTTCTAAAATAATATAGAAAATTAATTTTAATTCGATAATGTAAATTTTTTTTCTGAAAATACATACTGATTATTGGCTCACTGCATTTTTGTAATAATTTTCGAGCAAGTTCTCTTTCAGTATCTATAGCTTTTTTTGGAGCAGATTGTTTTTTAAGATTCATAAAATTGTCATCTATCACTGAAACAAAATAATCAGATTTTTTTTTTTTTTTGAAAATAAGATTACAATAATTTTAATAAATTCAAAATTAAATTCCTTACATGTTGAAATATTATGAAGAAGTCCAAGAGATGAATTAAATGTTTCACTTGTTTCATTCATAAGCGATTTTCTATAATCATCTACATTTTGTCCATATCGAGGAGGAAGGCTAATATAAAATTAAAGTTTTTATTATAAATAAAAGTTAATAAAAATTATTTTAATTATTTGAAAATTAATACAAACTTTGAATTTCTCTTGGCAGTTGAAGCAGCCAAAGGTAGTGGTGTTCCAAATACAGTATTATCAACGAAATCTTTTTTAGAATTTTTTTTACCTGGTGCCAAATTTTTTCTTGCTTCTTCCGACATTTTTGCACAATTTTTTTTTTACTAATAACATAAAGAATTGAATAATATTTACTTAAAAATTAAAATCAGTACATTTTCGAAATAGAGGTTATGTTAAATATTCTACTTCGATAAATTTAAATTTTCTTTTTGAAATCAACACAAACCTATTATTTGATACTTTGTAACAGCATCATTTAGCAATTTTTCAATATTTAAGTCAGTATTTATTTAATTTTTTCTTAGATAAAATACAAAACAATACAAAAAGACAAGTAAACAACACAAAAGAATACCGGTTTAAGAAGCAGGGATGGATCACTAAAATGGCTGAGATATAAAAGGTGAAATCACATGAAATCTTATGAAAAGGCGCCTTTATAATGTTTAACAAGAAGTGTCACATTTCAATCTCTCATTTGTTATTATTTATATACAACGATTGTTGATTATTTTGCTGTATAATTTATTTTTAGTTATAAAATTTATTCTTATATTTGTAAAAAAAATGGAAGAAACAATATCGAAATTCGTGAAAAAACACAATAAATTATTATTTTTGGAGCAAGAGGAAAGTTTTAGTAGAAATTATAAGGATATTTCACCTGCAATTATTTATAATTTAGAAAAAAATGGTCAAGCATTGTCAAAATTAAAAATAGTAAATATAGCACACAGTGGTCCGGGAAAATTTCAAATTGACTTTGAATTATCTAATGAATTGTTGTTAGAAAGTAATTTATCACAAGGTGATTTGGTAATTTGTATTGAAGGAAAAAAAAGTAGTAAACATGTGAGAGGAATCATTATTAATGTATCTAATACTATGTTAAGTATTTCTTCAAATGATAGTTTTGACATTGAAGAAGAAAATTTTTATACAGTTTTGAAAACAGATTCAGATTTTACTTATATTTGTCAAAAAAAGTAAGTTATTCTTCAATTGATAATTAATTATTTACTTACATATTCTGTATCCATATATTTATTTTACAGAGCTTTGATTAATTTAGAAAAGAATAGAGATTCAATTATAAGAAGAATATTATTCGATAAAGATAAAAATGCAGTTCAATCATTATTAACATCAGAGTTGCCAATCATAGAAAAATGTTTGAATGAAGAAAAATTGCTAAAATTTGCCAACAATTCTTTAGCTGTTGATCAGAAAGCTGCTGTTGAATTTGCATTAAAGAGAAAATATTTTGCTATTATTCAAGGACCTCCGGGAACGGGTAAAACAACAACTTTAGTTGAATTAATCATTCAATTACATCGTCATGGTAAAAAAGTATGTATTAGATAAAAGTACAATAAAATTTAGAAGTTAGAATTTTTTTTTGATTTTAGATTTTAGTTTGTGCTCCAACAAATGTTGCGGTGGATAATATAGCAATGAAACTTGGTGAAACGGAAGTAAAACCATTGAGATTGGGTCATTTTACAAGAATAATGAAAGAAGCACAAAAATATTCAATTGATAGTTATATACAACGCGATGATTCATATGCAATATTACAGGATATTAAACGATCTATAAAGGCTCTAGAAACAAATTCTGAGAAGATGAAAAATTACAAAGAAATTAGAGAATTAAATAAGGAGTATAAAAAAAGATCGAATAAATTGAATGATGATATTATTAAAAAATTTCAGGTAGATATATTTTGTGGAATATAAAAAAAGATTTAATATTTTACAATTTAATTTTTTTGCCAGGTGATTCTTTCTACACTAAATTCATCTTCAAGTAAAGGTTATTTACAACATCTTGAGAATGATCATTTTGATGTTTTAATAGTTGACGAAGCTTCTCAAGCATTGGAGGCATCAATGTGGATAGGAATTCCTAATGCACCAAAACTCGTGTTAGCAGGAGATATTAATCAATTGCCACCAACTGTTTTATGTCAAGAGGCAATAAATCAAGGACTTAATATAAGTCTTATGGAGAGAGCTATTAAAAAATTAGGAAAAGAATCTTTTGTAACTCTCACAAGACAATATAGAATGAATGAAAAAATAATGTTGTGGTCCAGTAAACGATTTTATGAAAATAGTTTACAAGCTGATGACACAGTTAAATATCATTTGCTCAAAGATCTTCCGGATATTAAAGAATCAAGTTTAACGGGTAAATGTCAAAATATTTTATTTCTTTTTGTGGAAATACGTAATTTTTTAATTTTCAGCTGAACCACTTGTATTTGTCGATACATGTGGTTGTGAATGTGAAGAATATCAAACAGTCAAAGGATTTGGATCAAAAGGAAATGTTCGAGAAGCTGTCGTTGTAAATAAAGTTATTTCTTCATTAATTCAATCAGGATTGTCAGAGAAAAATATTGGAATTATAACACCCTATGCACTACAGGTAAAATAAAATAAAAAATTATTGTCTTATTTTTAACTAATTTATTTTTTTCTGCAGGTCGATTTAATTCGTAAATCATTACTTTTCGATTCAATAAATATAGAAGTAAATACAGTTGATGGTTTTCAAGGGAGGGAAAAAGAAGTGATTATTCTCTCTTTAGTAAGATCAAATTTAGAAAAAGAACTTGGTTTTCTAACAGATTTTCGAAGATTAAATGTAGCCGTTACAAGAGCAAGGCGATTACTTGTTGTAATTGGAAATAGTGAAACTGTTGAAAAAAATGATATGTTAGCAAGTTTATTGACACATATTGGAGAAAATGGTTTATTGAAAACTGCTGAAGAATATTTGTCCGGTATTCTATTTATTTTTTAATATTAATATTTTTAAATTTTTCATTTTCTATTTATATAATATTTCTATTTGTTATAGTTCAGGATGACTTTGAATTAAAAGTTGAACAAACAGCTGAAAAACAAAAAAAACATAATAATAAATCTTCAACAATTGTTTTGAAACAAAAGGAAGAAAGTAAAGTTCAAGAAAATTTAAAAATTACCACTAAAGATGTTAAAAATATTCCTAAATTGAATGATAAGGGAATCGATTTATCGAGCTGTGAAAATAGAAAGGCTTACAATATTTTTAATTCTATTGTCTCTAATGAATCAGAAGAAGCAGGTAATAATAAACTTTTTATATGATACATACTAGTTACTAATTATATTTTCAATTAGATGAAAATGAGGGAGAAAATAAATCAGAAGAATTAAAGGAGTCTAAAGTGAAAAAGAAGAAAAACAAAACAAAAGTAAAAACTGAATTTAAAAGCACAGAAAAAAATGAAGATTTTAATACAATTATTGAAGAATTGAGTAGAACAAATAATTGTTGTTCATTTAAGGATTGTAAAATTTCCACACAACTTATACATTTAAATTGTGAATTTTGTAAAAATCGATTTTGTTTGCAACATGGTTTGTGTTTATTTGCATTTCAATTAAAATAGAAATTATACAATTTCTTATACAAGTATATTATTTAACGTTTTTTTTTTTTTTCAAATTCAAGGAATGCAGGAGATTCACGGATGTGGAGAAGCAATACGTCGTAAGGAAAGAAAAGAATTCCGACAGAGAATGCCTGAACCTGCAAAGAAAAAGGATAAAGACAGATTTGCACAAAAATTAAAACAATTTGAAGAAGCTAGAAAACCCAAAGCAACAAAGGAAGAATTAAAAAAGTCTAAGAAGAAATAAAGAATGAAAAAGAATTATTTAAAGACTGTTCTTTTTCTTTCCTGCGCTAAGTTCTATAAACTATAAAAAGAAGTTATTTTTTAGTGTATTTTTGCGTGAAAAGTTTTTTTTTGATGTAATGTAAAATAAATGTATTTTTTTATATTAATTGATTAATTTTCTTAATTGTCATTAATTCTCAAAAAAAAAGATAAAACGAAAAATTCAACACTTATTGCTGGTGAATGATTTAAAATACTTTATTCAATTAAAAGCTTCTTACTAAAAAATATACTCTACTTTTATAACATGTATATATATATATATATATATATATATAATTATTTAACCTATTTAACTTAAAAAATTATTCTACTCTAATCTCTCTACAAAATAATAAAATTTTAATTTTAATTGTCATTTAATATACATCTACCTTTATTTATTTTTTTTTGACGTATAATCTTAAATTGTAGAAAATTTTTATAACCCTACATTCATTATTCCCAATAGTTGTATTATTTATTCCATTTCAAATTCATTATTTAATGCAGCTAGATCTCTGAAAAATAGTAAAAAATTTTTTGAATAACTTTGTACAATTTTTTGTTCGTGACATATAAAAATTTAAAAAATTTAATTTACCTGTTTTCTATGGCTTCATTAAGATGAAATTTATGCATCAGTGATACAACTAATCGTAATGTTGACCAAATTGTATCAGACATTGCTTTTGGCGGCGCTTTTTCTCCCAAAAGATTCCTTCCAGCGGCTTGTTGATTCAAGGCAGTGAGAAGATGTTCGCCAGCTTCTCTATAAATAAAGAAACCATTTTTGTACACAAATGTTTTTTTAAAAAAAACCTTCTCTAAAGCATAAAAATAAATCTCACTTGTACGCTCCAAGGTTTATACAAGAGATTCCAAGATTATAGCGGGCCCTAATAAAACCTGGTGCCAAATCCAAAGCATGATGATAAGCATCAATAGCTTCTTCTGATCTTTGACCATTAGCTAATGTTGCACCTAATCGATTCCATAATTTTGCATCCTACAAATCAAAATTATTTATTAATTAAATATAAAGAGGTTTCATTAGAAGAAACTTACATCCGGTCTAGCTTGTATTGCTGCACGAAAACAATCTGCAGCTTTATTATATTCACTCGACAAATTGAAAAGTACACCGAGTCCACATTGAACATCCGGATCTATTGTATCTCTCGGCTGTAGTCTAGCGGCTTGAATAAATAGATCTTTTACCTCATTGTGAACATCACTGCGAGATAAAAACAAAAATAATTATTAATTTTTTTTTTTTTTTTTAGTCAAAAATATATTAAATGAAAGAAGTCTTGCATCAATATTAAACTGTCTCACCTCAAAAATTTTTCAGAAACTCCAAATTATAATTCTTTTTTTTTCTAAACAAAAAAATAAAATGCAAAACTTTTTTCAAATGTACAATACATCAGGACGTACTTAAACAAAATAGTTGATACTCTTGTCTGTGGTGGTTGAGTAAATGAAGTTAATGGTGTAAGATGTTTATATTTTTCATTTTTTAATAGCCATTCCTTAAGTGTCAAACATGCTTGACTTTGAAACGATTCATTTGTATAAGAAACAGCAAGTGACATCAATGCAGCAGAATTTGCAGGATCAAGTGTTAAACATTGTTTTAAAGCTGAAATAGCCATTGAATCTTGTTCATTTTCAGCTTGTGTTTTTCCAAGAAGAAGCCACGCTTCAACATTATTACTGTCCTGTGTTACTGCCGCTTCAAAACAAAGAACAGCACTTGGAAGATCGCCTATTGCTAATCTCTTTTTACCTTCCTCGAAAGCATTTGATAAATTAGCCATCGGATTATTTTCATTAAATTTATATTCCTTAAATGGATCATAATATGTATTATATTCCGATATCCATGGATGTGTAGCTGAAATATTTTCAGATGATAAAATTTTATCCCATTCACCTTGAAGACGTTTCCAAAATGATGATTCGTAATTATCAGTATCTGAAAAAGAAAAAAAATATATATATAAAAAGTGATTAAATAAATAAATATCACAAATTTACTAACCTTTTGCAATTGTTTTGTTAAATTCATCAACCCATGTCCCAGCAATAGCCAATTCTTCTTCAACTTTATTTAAAGCTACATTATTTTCATTAGATAATTCTGCATCGTCATTAATAATTTTTTCTTCAATAAATTCTGAAGACCATTTATTTTTTTCCTCTATTGAATTACTTTCTTCTTGGCGCATAAATTTCATAAATTTCGAATACGCAATATTAGGCTCCTCAACATTTAAACTTTCAGGCAGTTTCATTAGTTCTGTACTTTTATTTTCATTATCATCAGCATTTTCTATATTTTGCTCTAAATATTCTTCAGCCCATTTTGGTCCTAGGCCAAGTTCATAAGTTTCCCCTGATATAATAGGTAATTGTTCTCTTGTTGTTGATGGTTGTTCAATTGTAGGAGAATTCCAAATATCTTCTGCATGATTTTCCTTTAAAAAAAATTAATTATTATTTAAATTAATGTTAAGAGGCAAAAATTTAAATTTTTTCAACTTACATCAAAATGTTTCCCTGATTGTAAATATTGTGTTGCCCATGCTGTATCCTGACCTGTCAATTCTTTAGCAACACATGGACTCATAACTGGTGGATAAACATTTTGATCAATATCTCTCATTTCTTGCAGCAAATGATCCATTTTAAATGTTTGTGGATGCATTGAACTTTCTTCTAAAAATTGTTTGACAAGCTGATCTGAATTTGCATTTTCAAAGGGTTCACGTGAATCAAAATGTTCATGAACCCCATCTTCTTTAAATCCATGATCCTGAACGAAGTGTGAAGTGAATCGCATCAGAGGATTCAATCCTCCACAATCACTTTCAACTAAGTCTCTGAATGCCATTGTTGCTTATCTAAATACAATTAATAATAATAAAACTAGTTTCTCATAACAAATATCAATTTTAAATCTTTACAAATATCATAAAATAATTGACAACTTAAAGTGAACACTTAATAAATCTCCGCTATTAAAAGAGTAATCTAAACCATAGAAAAAACTAAATTTTCATAATTGTTACAAAATATAGCTATAAACTTTTAAAAACAAATTACGTACTTGATTTTCAATCCAAGTGTCAGTTTAATAATCCAAATATTTAGTATTGTCTCCTTTTAAATATATAGGTATACAATTTCAAGTAGGGCGAGTCACAAAAATTTCCTTTTGTATATCAACTGTCATAACTTCAATACCATTGCAATTATTCTTCTTCTTCATTGACCAAATATTTCATTAATATCAGGGTATGTATTGTATATATAAATAGATTCGACTTTGAACATTAAGTTCCTATAACACCTACATACATTTTTTAAAATTATTTTCTGCATGATATTCATAAAAATCATGAAAACTTATTAACACACACATTGTGTCGAATCACGTATATAACTAAAAACAAAAAATTCTTCTACAAAAAAAGAAACAAACTATGAATTTTTTAAAATTCAAAACAAAAACTCAAAATTATCATTTTTAAATAATATAATAAAAGTGTATAATAAAACTTATAAAATAAAAAACAGGGTTATGATGGAGAGTAAGTCCTAAGGGCAAACGCACAGTTGCGCATAATTTTGACAGGAAGGGTGGGGGATTCGTTGTCGAACATTAAGCTGCGATCACATCTTTCTTGAAAAATATTTCTAAGTTCTATTTTAAGGTAATTTTACAATCTTTCCTTTCCTTTCTCAAATTTCCAAAAATTTTGTCCCATAATAATTTTTTTTACATATAGTTTATTAATTATTATTATTTTCATTAGTTTTTTTACTAAATAATATAAATTTATCTTTATCCTTGTCTTTCTTTAGTTTTTTCTTTTCTTAATTTGTTGTTAAATTGACCTTCCCACCCATGCATATTTTAACAAAAATATCCTAGCTTCCCAACCCTGCTATAACGCGCCATTACCTCAGTCGTTGCCGCCATTTTGGCTAGGAAAGTTCACCTTGTTTTTTGTCGTTAGATTTATAGACCAATTTATCGTATTATTGTGAAAATAATTATCAAGTTTTGTTGAATAACGTTAATTAAAGCTTGATACATTCATTTTTTGAGCTATTTTAACAGATTAGTAATATTTGACCAAAATATCCGATTCACTCTTGAGCAAATGGTAACTGCTTAAGGCGCGTCCATTTTTATTTTTTTATCATTCATAATATCACATATAGTCGGAATATAACTTCAGTTTGTTTAAACTTCATTCGAGTCATAAATATGATTGAAAATAATGGAAAATTTGCATGCAAAGTAACCAATCAGAATAAATTTCTTCATGGCGATTCCGAGAAGTTGACAAATCCAAGATGGCGGCATTAGTATATTGTGAACGCGCGTCAGGTTTCTTAATCTTTTATAAACTCTACTTCATCGGAAAAAATTTATTAAAAGTACTTAATTTACATTCGGGGGTATCAGAAATATATATATTCTTTGCAAAATCGGTTTTATTATTAAATTATAGTGTTGAAATTTCTATACAAGCACGCATTGTGCCTTTGAACTCGTGTAAAGTGACTTTACATACCAGTGGAAAAATTAGTCAAATTTTCTTATATTTTACATTATTTTAAAACTTGCTCAGATTTAATAAGTTTATTTAGTTAAAATCAGTGCGGGAGTAAAAAATATTCGATTCATTGCATTGTTGCCAAATGTTATAAGTTTATAGTCAGTTTAACACGACGTCTGTCTCGCGTCATTTTCTATGATATAAAATTCGTTTTTTCTACATAAATCTGAGAAATTTAGAATAAAATTATTAAAAATAGATAAATTATTGAAATATTAATTTGCATTAAATTGAATATTTTATTTCGACTAGTGAAAAGTGAAGTGTTGTAATCAAGAAACTGATGTCCAAATCACCAACTCCAATCAACATCTTGACAAAAGAAGAGTATCGTACAGGTCAGATTTATTATTATTTTTACATTTTAACTGTTGATTATTTATCAATTATTAATTCTCTATTAATATACATTAAAATATTTATAAATTAAATAAGTTAAAAAACTTAGAAAGTAAAAAAATGTTTTTTACATGAAAATTGCAAGAAAACGGGAAATTTGAGGAATTACGAACATTCCTAACTAATAAACGGGTTAATAAATAATTGAAAATTTATTAAAAATATAAAATTTGAAAAGAGCGCCTTTCAGTTGGCAGCACTTAAAAAGTTTTTCGTTATTTTTGCTTCTGTTGACTCTACTGTTATGTATACCGGTGATCAATATAACCTCAAACTCAAGTGACGTGTCTGTTGTATTTGATATTGTTTTTTTTTTACACAATTTCTGTAAAAAAAATTGAGAAAAATGGATATTGTATATAGGCTTCCCTTCTTTGTTTTAGAAGTGCCAAATTTAAAACTAAAAAAACCTTCATGGTTTATGAAACCCAGTGCAATGGTTGTTTTTTCATTTGTTCTTCTCTCGTATTTTTTGATGACAGGAGGTAATGTTTGTTTTTTCGATAGAATTTTTAATTTTTTAAATTTTGCTATCAATAATTGTTATTATTTTAGGGATTATTTATGATGTTATTCTTGAACCTCCAAGCGTTGGGTCTACTACTGATGAACATGGTCATAGTCGACCTGTAAGTAATTTGGAAATAAAATTAATACAGTTTTGAGAGGGATGTTTATTTATTTTTTTTAATAAATTAAAAGGCAGTTGTTTTTAGCCATATTTTACATAATTTGATTTTTATAGGTTGCATTTATGCCGTACAGGGTTAATGGTCAATATATCATGGAAGGTTTAGCGTCTAGTTTTCTTTTTACATTAGGTGGATTAGGATTCATTGTTTTGGACCAAACGCACAGTCCTTCTACGCCAAAATTAAATAGAATTCTTTTAATAAGTGTAGGATTTATTAGCATAATTGTTTCATTCATCACATGTTGGATTTTCATGCGAATGAAACTTCCGTAAGTTTCGACTTTTTTTTTTATCTCTTATTATAACTGTGGAATTTGCTTTTTTTTTAAAAAATGAATTTATTAATTATTTCAGAGGATATTTGCAATCTTAATTTCATCAATTCATCCTGAGAATTTTTACATTTCGTTTCAAACAGAAATGTTCTACGCATCAAGGAAAATTTTTATAATAAGACTAAAGTATCTTTTGTGAATACTATTTTATTTTTACAAATATAAATAATTATTTCACTTTAAAAAATTTTTTTTTGTTATCTTTCCATAATTAAAGGTTAACGTTTAATTAAGGATTTTGAGGGAAAGAATTAAGGTTATTATTCTTCATTCTGAATTTTCTTTATTTAATAGTCATTTTACATTAATCGACATATATTAAAAATCAAATATTGATTTTTGTTCGTATGGTTATAGTTTTCGACTACATTGACGATTTTAGCGCATTTTTTCCGTTGTTTTTTTTATAGATACATATATTTACATTAAAAAAAAAAAATTAATATTCACTATTCCTTCAACACAAACGTTTTTTTAGAGTAAAATTTTTTTTCAGTAGCGGTAATAATTTTACTTTTTTTTTTTAGAGTATAAGAGTACGATATCTATGTGATATATTTTTGACAATTCGAATAATATATTTAATTTATTTTTCGTTATAGTTTATTTGATGATATTTCTAAAATTTTATTTAAAATTCTATTTTTTTTAACTTTTTTTTTATCATTTGTTTTCGATACTTTCTCCATTATTTTTTCTATTATCTAATATCGAAACATTTAAAAACAGTAGTTTATTTCTAATTAATAATTTTTAAACAGTCTTAAACATTGAACATTGTAAATTCTTTTTTTTCTCATTTCTTAATTATATGAGACCTATTATGATTTCTCTAATATAAAATTACTTACGAGAAAGTTGAGCCATTTCAAAATTAATCTCAGATTATATAATTATAATGAAATTAAATATTTTTTTTTTAACAAAGTATTTAAATTGTTTGAATTTTTTTTTTCTGTATCTATTAAATTAAATCTCGTAGCTCCTAACTTTCCATTGTTTAAATATAATAAATTTATATTATAAAACAAAAAATTAATTTTTAGATTTTTTCTTGTGCCTTTAAGTCAAATATTTTTTAAGCTACCGCTTTTTATAAATTTAAAGATTCTTTTTTAAAAATAAAACATGATGAATAAAAATTAATGACAATATTTTTTTTTTTTGAATGATTAAAAATCGAATATATATTGTATAAAAAAAATGGAATAGTGCTTTCTTCGTATAATTCAATTTTACTATTTGTATTGAGTTTTACAAAGAAACACATTTTTTAAATTCTATAAACTTAAAAATAAAATCTAAACACATAACTGAGTTTCGCATTATAGAAAAATGATTATAATTTTTTTTTCCTATAGCGATTATTATTTTTATATATACAATAACAGAGAGCCATATATGCTACAGTTCTGAATATATTCTGTATAATAAAAACATAAAAACAACAAATAACAAACCCTGAATTTCTAACAAAAATCTAGAAGACAAAAAATTTTTCTACAAACATATTATTTTACATACTTTCTATTTCTTTTTTTTTTTGTTATAATGAAAAAAAAAAAAGAATTTGCCTTTTATTCTTCTAGATTTAAAAAAAACAAAACATTAATTTACGTACATACCACTCAACAATTAGTATATCAACTCAATTTATCAAAAAAGTATTTCTCTTTTATCTTACTAAAGCCTTAATTAAAAAGAGTTTAATCACGATAGCCTTTTATACTCAAATATCAATATTTCCAAAATATCACACATTATAGTCGCGCCTTTGATCCTTCGGGTAACGTATTAGAATAGAGGAAAAAAAAAAAAATTGTTTGGGGATGGGGGGGGGTAAGGGGAGGGATTTTTTTTTCTTATCACACTATTGTTGGCCGTCTTTTACAAATCTCAAAAAATTTTCTTTATTTGGAAGTAGTTGAAATAGTGAAATCGATTCATGTCGACTCCAGAGCTCCACCTGATAGTTTTGTCGCGTACAAGTTGAGCGCCTGGAAAAGAAAGAAAATTATTCAAAATTTTATTTCATATAATTTATTTCCTTTACAATAAATTTTTGTTATTTTGAAAAATTTAATGTAAAAATTTTTTAATTCTTCGAAAAAAGTATATATTTTTTTTCCATAAAAATTACCTTGTAAATAAAAGCGTATTGTTCTTTTGTTTGCACAGCTCCAGCACGATCCCTTCTAATCGTGTAAACAACTCGTGGAACATCCACTGTTCTCGTAATCTCATATTGTCGAATTCCTAAGTCGAGTGCTATTAATGTCCCCGTTCTTCCTGTACCAGGACTACAATGAACAACAATTGGTCCTGGTCCACCTCTTTGAAATGCTCTCGCTTCCAAAAGAACAGCAATTAAACTCGCTGAATCTGGCATTCCATTTGAAGGCCAAAGATACCAAATATGCGACACTTCTCTAAATGTATTATTCTCCAGATTCTATAAATTTTGGGAAAAAATAATAATATTTTTGAATTTAAAAAATTTTTTTTATTTTTTTAGTAATAAAAAAAAAAAAAAAAAAAAAATTGGAAAAATTTTATTTACCTTCAAATGAAGGGTTGAGATTGCGTATTTTTCTTTGGTTTCTCGTTTCTTGAGAGTAACTTGATAATCGCCATAAAGTCGATGGCAATCTGTAACTTCAGAGGGAGGAATGTATTCCGAGCATTTCTCAACTCCATTCTCGACGAGATCCGTTAACATGATAATAACTTTCGATTGTTGCTCCCAAATCATACGCCAGAAGTCTGTAACCGAAGACTCTGTTGGAGCTTGGCAGGCAATGTAGTATTTCGTTGCATTCTTTGGTCCCTGAAATATTTTTAAAAAAAAAATATCGAATAGAAAATTATAATTTCATTTTTTTTTTTTTGAGATTTACCTAATTTTTTGATTTTCTTTTTAATATAAATTATGTAATTATCTATTTTCATATATGAAATAATTTATATTGTTGAGTATAAAAGGGAAAATTTCTATTCAATAATAATTTCATTTCCAAAATAATTTGACGATTGTGTTTCTCTCTCTCTCTCTCTCTCTCTCTCTCTCTCTGCACAAATTGTTAGACATAATGTTGGGTGAATAAAATTATATAAATTGTACACCTAATTGAATAGGCATAGAATCTATATTGACTGGTATTGTATAGGTATTCCACTGGTTGCATAATTTATATAAGCATATTCGCCCTGAACTCGAATCGTGCGATAAATCAATAGAAATTCAATTTTATATTTTACATTTTAAAGCACCATTGTCGTCTAATTTTTTTTTTCTTTCTTTTGAAAAAAAAGTTTATTGTTGCGGAAGTAAACTTTAAAAATATGTTTGGAGAAAATTTATGTGAAACAGCATTATCGTAACAAATTAAGTTTTACCTCTTTTTTTCGATTTTTAAATTTTTTAAAATTTTTCGTCCCTTTTTTACTATTTTAACACTAAAAAAAATTATTTAATTTAAATAATCGACTATTATGAAATAAATATAGTTATTTGGAAATAATTTTTATTTGAATCAAATAAAACCAATAATTTGGTAAATAAAATTTAATTGACAAATAGAAATTACTTGCTTTAAGAAAATATTTATTTGGATAATACACTGAAAAAAAATTTTTTTATTTGATTTAAATACTCGATTACCTTGACTATTATCAAATAAATATTTATTTGTATCAAATAATTATTATTCGAGCCAATTAAATTGTATTTTTTTTAAATACAAAAATTATTGGTTCAAATACAATTTATTTAATTCAAATAAAAAAATTATTTGGTTCAAGTAAATACACTGGAAAAAAATAATTTATTTGATTCAAATACCGGTGTATTTGGTTATTATCAAATAAATATTTACTTGAATCAAATATTTCTTATTTGAATCAAATATATAGTATTTGAATCAAGTATTTCAGTATTTAAATCAAATATTTCAGTATTTGAAGCAAATACCATTTATTTGACTAAAATAAGAAATAATTTGATTCAAGTAAATATTTATTTGATAATAACCAAATACACCGGTATTTGAATCAAATAAATTTTTTTTTCAGTGTATTTATTTGATAATAGTCAAGTAATTAAGTATTTGAATCAAATAAATTTTTTTTTTCTTCAGTTTAGTAATTATTTGAAGAAAATAATTTTTTTTTTCTTTCACTTGGAATAATATAACGTGGTTTCATATAATTAGTAGAATGTAGAATATAACATTAAAGTGATTTTACAAATGAGTGGATTTATAATATATATTGCTCACCCGAACGTAACTAGCATTGATGTATTCAGTAAGCAGATCGTTGTTGAGCCTCTGGAGTTGGACTCGAGTTTCCGGAAGTGGAATTACATTCGCATATCGATTTTTCACTTCAGCACCTTGTGGTAGCTCATCTATTTTGGCTGTGATTTGAGGTATTCCGGTAAATTCCTCAGAGATCGCATTCACGTCATTGCAGAATGTTGAAAGTCCAGCGAAATTCAAAGGATGAGAAGGGATTGCACTCTGTGGGTTTATACATATGTTTTTACTAAAAAATATATTTTTTTTTTTTAATCGTCGATTTTTCGAAATTTTATTAATATTTTTATTATACTCCGATGATTACAAATTTACTCTCTAAATTATCTATTTAATTTCCTATTGAAATTATCTACGTGACATAATATTTTAATTTTAATTGGAGGATAAAAATAACTAAGTTTTAAATAAGGGCATAAAAAAAAGTGAAATTAAGGCGAAGTTTAAACTTACAGACTTTAGACCATCTTCCGTATCAGACTTTTAAAATGTCTGATGATCAGACACACTACAAGTTACCAATGTTAGGAATCGTATTTTGCTTTTTTCTTTTTTTTTTTTTTTTTTAATAATCGTAAAAAAATTGACATTTTCACTTATCACACAATAGTTAAGAGAAATAAACTCACTGAGTCTTCAAATGTTGGATTTCCGTAACTTCTTTTTGAGGCTCTTATCGCACCCTTTCGTCGAACACTGTTGTACGCTGACACGCTGTCCAAACTGTAAGCGTCTAAGGAAACTGGACGACATCTCTCCCCATAATTGAATCTCGTTTGCCTCTTTCTCATTATGAACTGTAATGAGAATTTTCCTGTTAGAAACTTGAATTTCTTGGAAAAAGTTATATTTAGGGGTCAATATATAATCATCATTATAATTTTCATAGACTAATTTTTTTTCTCTTTAAAAAAATCTTCTCTTTAAAAAAACAAAATATCGTCTGATATATTTTTTTTACAGATTGATTAAAAAAAATATTTATTTTTATTATTGGAATTTTGACGAAGCTAAAGTATGCAACGTTTATGATAAACGATTTTTAAAGAAAAAAATTTTTTAAAATAATAAATTCTATAATTTTTTGCCTAAAAAAAATATTTCTTAAAGTTTTCATTAATCAATAAATTATAAAAAAATATTTATTAGGCAAAAAATTATAGAATTTTTATTTTAAAAAATAGTTAATCATAAACGTTGCGTACTTTAGCTTCATGAATTTTGTTTGAAAGTACTTTTTATTTTTGAATGTATGTGAAAAAATATTTTTATATAAAAAAATTTATTTGATTCAAATACTCGATTACTTGACTATTATCAAATAAATATTAACATGAACCAAATATTTTTTTTATTTGAATTAAATAAATTGTATTTGAACCAATAATTTCTGTATTTGAAACAAATATATCATCTCAAATAATAACTATTTGATACTAATAAATATTTGATAATAGTCGAGTATTTCAATCAAATAAATTTTTTTTTCCGTATATTTTTTTATTTTCTTTTTGAAAAAAGTACGCCGTAGGAGTAACAAGTTACATAAATAAACATTTATATTTTTTTTTCTTTGAAACAAATGAGTGAAATATTTTTTATACTTGTACAAAATTTTTTACAAGTGCTCAGTGAACATTCAGTTTTAATTCAAAGGGAACAAATAAAGCTATTTTCAATTTGTTAAAAAAAAAAATTCAGATTTTGACGGTTTTTTTTAAAATAAATGACACACAAAAGATAAAAGTAATAAAAATTAAAAAAAAATGGGAGAATTATAAATTTTGAGGAAATTTTTTTATTTTTTTTATTTTTTGAAGACATTTTTTTAACAAAGGAAAATTTAATAATTGTGCAGTACCTAGACGATTATTGAAAATTACAAATTTGCTTCTTTTTTTCGAGAGACATTGGTATATTTAAAAGAAAAAACACGGGACGTTTTTTTCTCAGTGAATTACACACATCTTTACTAATTATTAATGATTACGTACTCTAGGAAGCAATTATGAAGAGGACATCGTACGATTACTGCATATAATCATTGCATCACGATGTATCAATCTTTGAAGACCTGCGTACCTGAATCTTTACTTATTAATAACTGTTTTTTTTTAATTTTCAAGTTTTCTTATCAAAATTCCAAGTAATTGCTTCTACTGAGAAATTTTTTTTTGCGGTTTTTTTTTTTTAGAAAATATTTTTAGAAAAAAAAACTTACCAAAAGACCTGCGAGTAGAACTAAACAAATAAACGCCACACTTGAGACAACAATGACAGCTATTGCATTTCCGGAATCAGTTTCTTGAACCAATAGAAAACTGTGTACCTGTAACATTATTTTTAAAAATAATATATTAGAAAAAAAGATTTATCACTGAGAAAAATATGCTATTGAATTAACAGTATTTTTGCTAAAAATTATTGATTCAAAAGCATATGCTATAGAATTAATAATTTTTATGCCTTTAGAAGAAATACTGTTGATTCAATAGCATGTTTTTCTCAATATATATAGTTTTCTGCATAGTTTGTAAAATTAATTTTTTTCTATAGTTTAAGATTGATATTTATTTCTTTTTGTTTTTTTGCAATTAACTTACTGGTAAAGGAAAGTTTATAGTAGGCATGGACACCTTGTATAAATTGGGCAAAAGTTTCGTCATAAGCTCATCGAAATTTCCATCTTCGTCGACAATGTAGATTAGTAGAGATGTTAGCGGAGTTTCTGAGGATGACAGTGACGTGAGAGCCATTACTCCTTCAGTACATTGAGTTTGATAGAAGATAACTTGTCTAGGCGAAACAATTCTAAAGGGAAATTACAATTATTTTTGTTGAAAAATTTCCTTTGTAATATTTTTTTTTGTATTTCTACACTGAGAAAAATATACTATTGAATCAACAGCATTTTTGCCAAAAAAATTTATTCAAAATCATATGCTATAGAATCAATAATTTTTATGCCTTTAGCAGAAATGCTGTTGATCCAATAGCATATTTTTCTCAGTATAAATAATTATAGTAAAATAGTATATAAAAATACATACTTGTTTGCACCAGTAGTTAATAGATTAGCAATCATTTCTCTAATCGATTCCAAATTTGGACAGACCTCATTCCATGTACTTTCAAAAACAATTCTAACGAAAATTCTAATATCTTCAGGCGGAAGAGTTGGCATATTAACTGTTGGAACTTCGGTTATCGATTTGGAAACTGTATTCTCAGATGTTACTGAAACAATTCGTGGATTAGGTGCAGAAGTCGAGGTCCATATCAAAGTTGTATCTGTCGTAGTTTGCTGATCAACTGTTGTTTCGTTTGTTTGTTTAGAATCGGATGCTGTAGTATTTTTTGATATTTCTCTATCAATATCAGTAATAATTGTAGTTCCGTCATAATTTAAAGTTGTTTCCGAAGTTGTCTCTTGATTAGAGATCAATGTCGTTGTGAGTAAAGTTGTCATTTCATCAGGTTTCAGTGTTTCGTTTTCAGTAGATGATTTATCTTCTGAAGTGGATGATCTTCCTTCGGAAACTTTATCCGTTGACGGGGTAAATTTGTTAATTAATTCAGTTACAATATCTTCTGTATTGATTGTAATTATCGTTGTTTCTTCATTTGAACTTTGAGTATTGCTTTCAGAAATAATTTCAGTTGTTCCATCGCGAAGAATATAGGAGAATGTTGATGACTCCTCTGAGTTTGTTGATTTATCAGAATTTGATGATTTTTCTGATATTGTCGATTTAGAAAAATTTGTTGATTCACCAGTATCACCAGAATTTGTTAATTCACTAGTATCAGTAGAAATTGTTGATTCGGTAAAATTATTAGAATGCGATACTGTTAATTTATCAGAATCTGTTGGTCTGGAGTTTGTGAATATACCAGGAGTTGTTGATGCTTCAAAATCTCTATTATTTTCATCTGCAGGTACAGTGGTTTCCTTTAATCCTATAAATTCGTACTCAACTGTTGTTGTTTCTGGTAACTCTATCGAAGTTGGAATAATACTATTTACATGAACTTCTGTTTTGTTGAGATTGAGAATTTCGGTTGAGGAAATTTTAGTTGATTCTGTGAGACTAGATTCAGTAGTATTTTGAGTGGATATTTCTTTTTTATTATCTGTTTCTATTTTATTTGTTATTGAATGTTCTGTAGAACTTTCTGTTGTGTTAATTGATTTCGAGTGTTGTACAGTTGGATTATCTAATTTTGTTGTTTCGATAGATTCTGATGTTTCGAGATTCTTTAGAGTCTCAAGAGATGACTTGCTTTCTGTTGAAGATTTGATTATTTCCGAGGCTTTTTCTTCAATGTCTTCAGCAGTGGTTTCTTTTCTTTTGGTAGAATTAATATTTAGTAAATTTGTTTCAGTTATTCCGTTCTCAGTTAAATCGATTTTTTGTTCATTATCAAGAGTGGGAGTAATCTCTTTATTTTCGAAATTAATTTTAATTGTAGATGGTGAGGAAACATAACTTGATGTTATGTTATCATTCTCGATACTTTGGGATGTTGTTGTTGTTCGAATTCCAAAATCACTAATTGTAGAATTAAGTTTTGTTGAGTTGCCTGACCTTTTAAAATAGGTGGGCTTAAATTGTTGGATGCTGTTTTCAATGACAACAGAAGGTTCAGTTATAACTGATTTTGTATCAGATTCTTTACGTCCAATTGTATTCTCGTAGGCTAATACTTCCTCAGTGGATTCTTCGATTTTTTTTCCGTACCCTTTGTTTGCATCCTTTGATTCATCGATTGTTTTTTTGATATCAGTCTTTAGATATGGATAAGGTTTCACTTCGACTTCTTTATCCAATTGAAGTGGTCTCTTTGTAGCGGAACTTTCAATTATAGTTGACTTTGTTGTCGCAATTTTTGAGTCTATATTTTCCGGAATAAATTCATTAATCCCTGAAAATGAGATTGTGCGAGCTTTCGGTGCAGGACTAATATTATCATTTATTTTCGTTGAGTCAGACAAATTTTCGGTTGATTCTTTTGTTTCTTTTCTTTTTGGAAGTACGTCGATCAAGGAAGAATTTGCTGTTATTTTAGATAATGACTCTGCTTTAGATGTTAAATCTTCTTTGAAAGAAATTGCATCTACTTTAGAAATATCTAATTTAGTTGATAGAACATCTGTTTTAGATGGGAAAATATCAATTTTTGATGATGAATCATCTACTTTTGATGAGTCTAGTTTAGAAAATGAATCATCTGTATTAGATGAAAAAATGTCGATTTTAGATGATTTTTCTGTTTTATCTATTTCTTTGGAAATTTCGGTTTTTGTTGGTATCACATCTGTTTTAGATGATGATGTATCAGAATTAGTTGAGATATCTATTTTAGATGAAGAGATGTCTAGTTTGAATAATGGAATATCTGCCTTTGCGGAGATTTCTATTTTTGTTGATGGTAGTGGTTTAGAAGATATATCAATTTTAACCTTTTCATCATTCTTTAAATCAACGTCATTAACCGAATCACCAATTTCACCTTCAATTTTTTTAGTGAAATTTTTACCATTGTCCTGTTTAATTATTTTTTTATCGATAAAACTTTTGTCGTTATTGACAAAACCTTTTTTTTCTTCAGCAGCTTGAACGATTCTCATTATTGGAGATCGTGTTATATTTTGCACAACTTCGACATCATTTTTGGGACCAAATTCAATATCGATACTGTCATCATTTTCGGATATAAGATTTGTTTCATTTTTTATTGTTTGTTTTTTAAAATTGACATTTGTGTCATTGACTAGAGAGAAGGAATCATCATCATCGTTGCGACCTTCTTCTTTGTCATCGATTCTCTCTTCTTTTTTGGACGCTTCAATATCAAAATCCTCCAATGATTCTTTTTTATTTGTTGCTTGTGTTGTTGGTTCCTTGTGCTCGATTTCGTGTTCTTCAATTTCATAATCATCAGCGCCCTCAAATTCGGGTTTAATAATTTCAGACTTTTTAACATTGTGCCTTGTGCCTTCTTTAAAAGCATCTAAAAATATTGATTTACTTTTGTTTCGTGATAATTTAGGAAGACTCTCTTCATCTGGAACAAGTTTCAAAGTCTTATCGCTGACATTGTTTTTCGATAATTTTGATTTTATGTTTGAATCTGCTGAAGTTGTACGGTCCAAGGAATCAAAAGTTTTCACTGGTTCAGTTTCTATTTTCTCAACTTTGATGGACTCATTGTTCAAGTCTTTTTGTTTTGATGTCGAGCTTCTCTCAATTTCATCCTGAAAGTTTGTTGAGTTTGTGAAAATGGAGTCGTTTTTCTCATTGCTCGAAATTTTCGTTTTGCTATCTGCAATGAATTTTCTTAAAACTGTTCGATTTTGTGACGGAAGTGTTGACGATTCTTCCGTAGATATTTTGGCAATTGATTCTGTTGTTTGCGTTAGTGCATCGTTGAAAAGTAATAGAAAGATGACTGGAAAAAAAAAGGAAAAGAATTTTCTTGAAAATTGAAAAGAAAAATTTTTTTTTTTTGCATATATGGGGAAAAAGGAATTTTTATTAGCAAATAGGAGTAGATACTAAAAAAGTGGTTATTAAAGAAATATTCATTTTATTATTCATGAAGTTACAACAACTGCAACCTAATTTTGTCTCTCAATTATTATTAGTCATAAACTCATGATTGTAAAATCGACCTCGGAATTATATACGGAAGACTTTGAATCTCTACCTCGTGTATATATATATTATGCGACCTAAGCTGATTCCGCGTTGAAGAGGTTTTTAAAAATTCATGAAATGCAAATGGTCCGAATATATCAAAAGGAAAATAGTTACTACTGTTCATTTGGAAAAATATAATCTCTCTCTCTCTCTTGCGTGTTTTAAAAGGCGTTTTTTAACATACTTTTTTACTGAGAATAATAAATTCTGAATAGTTGTAAAAAAAAATATATATGTGCGGTACATAAAAACATTTGAAGCGCAAATAAAATGAAAAGAATGCTACTTTTATGGATTGTAAATTTAATTTTTCAAGTATGTATTTTAAATGTCATTGAAAAATAGGAAATTATGTATTATTTCAAAATATTCGAATTATCGTCTCATCATTCTGCTTTGATAGTTTGAAAAAAATATAGAACAAAGGGAGTTCGACCTGCATATTTTATTGTTGCTTTTATATAAGAACAAAAGGTGCACTGGCTCAGACAAATATATACTAGAAATGAGTTATCTTGAATTTTTAACCATTTAGTAAATGCTTTTTTTTTATTTTAATTTTTCATATATTACTGATTGATTAGAAACAGATTTAAAATGATTAAATTAATTTATTTTTGAAATTTTCTGTTTTTTATATTTGCAATTAAGAGGATAAAAATGAAGTTTTACTTTCAATTTTAGTTTATATCCATATTTGTTTGTAGTTGTAGTCATGTATTTCCTAATATGAAAAATGTCAGAAATAAGTTTCATAAAACTTTACCTGTCCATACTTGTGATGTAAGTCTCGTTCTTTTTCGAAACATCTCTCAACATTCGTTTGATCTCCTCGCAGTTTCTGTAACAAAAAAAGAAAAAAGATTTTTTTTTTTTCTATTCTCTCAAAAGAAAAACGAATTATTTTACATATTATATTTTCTCCTTTGAATAGAGAGACAAATAACTTAATTACGGGTAAATTATTATTGAATCAATATTCTGAAAACTGTCAGTGGTTTCCTCTTCTAGAAAATTCTCGTAGCATTTTATAAACACTGTTTAAATGCATAATTAAAAAAGTGTTTGTGAATATCAATTTTTTTTTCATTTTTCTTTGTTGATGTATTCATTTTTTTTTGTCGATCCTCGTAAAATATAATTTTCTTGGGAACGTTGTTGTTGATTATAAAGCCTCTCTGACCTATTTAAAGAACTAATTTACTACTCATTTTACCTTCATTTCAAAACTTTGCAATAAGGGAATTGAAATTCCCTTCGTTATATATATATACAGTAATAAAGAAAAAGTTTTGCAATATGCTGTTAAAATTTTTTTTTCCAATTTTTCGTAATTATAAATTATTACTGCGTTTTTTTATTTTTTTCTAGATAATATAAATATGACGAAAAAAATTAGGTATTAAAATTTTCTTCTCGTTTTCCTTTTGTGTAAATTGAAAATTGAGGGATTTGACATAAATTCGAACATGAAAATTTACTTTAAAATTTTATTAAATTTACTTCCACTCGATGAAATAAGTTCCTTCCAATTGGTTTCGCGCGCAAGTGACGCAATTCAATCTCTTTGCCGCGAATACTGAAAATTAATTTCCTGTTTATGCTCAGGTAACTTGAATGTGAGTGTTCAATGTGCACACACTACTGGACACAGAGAGGCAATAGAAAGCAAATATATTCCTTAAGTTCGTATATACTGTAAAATTGAAAGTGGTTCACTGTACATTATGGGTTTAAAGTAGCGACTGCTTTCTCCTTTTGTTTAGGCAATATATCTTCCTCAATTTTAGCTTCTAGCTTTAGTAATTCTCTCGGGATAAAAGTTTGTATCTTGCAATGAATTTTAAAAATATGCATTTTTTTTTTAAAAAAGAATTTCTTTAGATTAAATAATGGTCGTAAATAATATTAGTTTTGAACAATATAAATATAAAGTTGATTTTTTTCTCACTTTAAAAGTTTTAATTTCGTAATAAAAGATTATGTTTTACTTTTGTCTTTTATTGTCAGCAATGATGAGAATAAGGAAATTGATTGAAAAGAAAAAAAAAAAAAATGTAATTTATGTTCATATTTTCCAATTGCACTGTAATAACATCTGAAGAGGTGAAGGTAGATGCAAAGTTTGCTATTCATATTTGAAAGTTGAATATTATTGCAAATGGCACATTTTACAAAGGTATTACTTTTAATGTCATCATATAGCAATTGTGAGTATACAAGAGCGAAGGAGGTCATTCTGAAGTATATTGTCAATTAAATTATTACAAGTTAGGGAGTCTGAAGAATAGTCTCGTTCTAAAATATGATTCATCATTTTATTCCTAACACAGAAATAAGCAATTTATTAATTCCGATTAATTTCTATTTTTACAATTATTTTAATTTCCAATTATTTTCTGTCTTTTAATTAAGGAAATTAAATTGTTTGTACGATTTAGTATTCTCTTGAAAATTGGTCAATAAAAGTTATTCTGTTTGAGAAAAAAAAAAATTTCTTTTTTGAGAAACAATTTCTTTTTTTCTGTTAAAGGCTTTTTATTTTCTTTTTAAAAGTCAAATATCGATCGCAGAGAAAACAGGTAAAAATTTTCTGAAAAAATTATTATTTATGGAAAATCGATGATTTTGAAGGGGAAAATACTAGACTGTGTGGTATTTATTTAAAAAAATATCCTCAATTTGAAACATAAACTGTGATGTACTCTTTGCAAAGCACTTTTGCTTTATTGAAATCTATTTGCTTCCTCTGTGTGTATCATATTTTAAATTGAAACAGAGAACTTCAATCTGCTTTTCTATTTCAATTTATTTTATTTTACAACCTTGTTCTAAATTTAACTATAATACCACTTTGCATAATTTAGTTAAAAATTCCCTTGACAAAAGTGAATTTAAATATTAATATATTTTGTTTATATATATATATATATATATATATATATATATATGTATAATATCCCTATACATTTGTTTCAATGTCGCGAATAATAATTATACTTGACATTTGGTAATTATACTTTTATAAAGAATTATTAAATAATTTATTTTTATTCTTTGACATTTAAAACAAGCAATAGAGAAACAGAGAAAGAGAGAGAGAGGGACTGGTTGTATAGAATGTTTGTCAAAGACTTGATATAAATTTTATGACATCCACGTTTCCCTTCGATATATAAAGCCCATTGAGAATAGGAATACAATAGATTGTGTATTGTAGATATAATATGTATACCTTCTGGGCATTTTGTGATACAAGACGTGGTCGCTGTCATTATATAGTCATAGAGTAGTTCACCAAGACAATGATGCAAATTTTTTTATAATTAAAATTTTTTAATATCGATTTTATATTCCATAATTATTCATATCTCGCAAACTGTTTGGTTAATTATATTTTTATGTATATTATACAAATATATTTTATATGTTTGATTATGCGGAAATATTGCACTTTATATAGAACAATTTTTCGTGTGATTAAAATTAGCATATGTATACATAGAGAATATTAAAGCACGTACACACGATGAACGAGGTAAAAGAAAATTTTTTTGTGAAAACGAAGGTCATAGAGAATTTTAGTGCAGGTTTTTTTTTGTCATCTGTATGTAGAGTAGAAGCTGAAGCATTTATGAGTGAGCCGAGATATGGCATGTACACTCGTAAAAATGAAAAGAAGCATGTTCTCGCACCTGGTTGAAATTTTAGCTCTCAAGTTGAAGGAAAACATACCGTCATTTTGCCGCTAACGTGGTTTTATTAATATTTAAAACTCTATTCAATTTTCACTGTGGATCGCGTTCACAATGTGCTGTTTTTTTTTTATGCGGAGAAAGAGAAAAAAAGCAGTATATTTTCCACAATACATTCTCTCTGATATAATATTTCTTCTTATTTTTCATCTTCATTTATTAAAAAGCAATTTATCTCTCTCGGGCAGTGGTTTTAGCTTTTTCCCTTTATTTTAGTATCCCTTATGGCGTTTATCTTTTTTTTTTATTATTATTTCTGTGTGTTATTTTTATTATCGTATTTTTTTATTTTCTATACGATTATCTATTCGTTTTATTTTAATTTTTATCTTTCAAAACTCAAAGTAAGGTTTTAGATTTGTTTTCTTTAGAAATTTGCAAACTTGTATATAGAGAAAATCTAATCAATTCACTCCTTGGAATGCAAATAGTTTCAAAACAACTGTTTATCCTGCATTTTGATTTCATTATTGCCTTTGGGTAAATTTTCATAAACTGCGGTTTATAACTGCATTCAATTTTTTTCAAAAAATTAGAATTGTTTTTCGATAAATGTATAAACTTATAGCAAAAAAAAAAGTTGTGACATATCCGTAGAAATATTGCTGATTATATTTTTGTTATCCGCCTATTTTCGTCAGCATTTAAATGAATGAGGTAACTTTTAACACTGAGAAAAAAAATTTAACTCGACTAATCGGTTACTTGACTATTATCAAATAAATATTTTCTTAAAATAATTTAATAGATTTTACTTGAAAACAAAATTTTTATCAAATAAAACGTATTTGAAATATAAAATTTGACTAAAAAATTATTTGGTTCAATTTTAAAATCCAATGATTATCTATTGTTGAATTTTATTCCGCAAATTCTGAACGTACTTTTTTAAATATTTAAATCCTTTTCAAATTTTATTATAAAATATTTGTATTTGTATTCTTGAAATAAATGTTTGATATGTATTAATTTTTAAAGTAGTAGTAATTTTTAAAAGTAGTAGTAGTTTTTAAAAATTTAAATATACGAAAAATATATAATTTAATTTGAAAGTTCAGAATTTTAGACAATTAGGTATTGGTTCATAGTTATTTACAATGGATTTACAATATTCCACTGATATTTTTTTTTCAAATATAAATTGTGACATATATACAATATGTTGTAATGTGACTTTTTTCCATTTATATTTCTCTTTTATAATCTCTCGTTGAAAGAAATGATCATTTTATGCAATATTTTTTGATGTAATTTAAAGTGATTGTATTCGTGAATGCATTTCATAAGTACATTATATATATATATATATATATAGCAGTAAATTTTACAACGAGCGACACAAATTTTCAGAATAACGTTACTCCAAGAAGCGTATATACGCTTGTGTCGTCAAGTCTTCTCTTCTTTCTTCAGTAAACGGTCCTCCACTTTATGACTGTATATATATATACTGAAGACGCTTTAGTTAGTGGAGCATACTACTGACGTGCATTTTATACCGTATCCGGCAACATTATGCTCAAACAACATTTATATATACTGCCATATCTGAAACTTTAGAAGAACAGGTTGTCATGCATCGTTACTTTACTAACCGCGGAAAAATAAAAGAATAAGGGAGAACTTTTTTTCCCATTCTAAAATTAAAGATAGAGAGACACGTCATAAAAACGAGGTTCATTTGTTTCTAGCGTTGTTCCCAAGACGCGCGTAATCATTGGAATTATATATTTAAAGAAATAATTTGTGCGAACAACTTTGAATTTACAGTTACACATTTATTTTCTTACGATATCATTTATATACTTATATTATTATACTTTAAATTACAGTTCTGGGGGAAAAAAAATAATCTTTTCCTTATTTGTCTTCCTTGTCTTGGTTCACTATTGAAAAGTAAAAATAAAATAACATTAGTTTATTCAGATTCAATTTTTTTGAGGTGACAAAGTCTTACTCCAAGGTCTAAGAAGTCAATTATTCGATTACTTTAGGTTTAGTCTCGATGCCACATTTATTTTTGTCAAATTTGGAAATGAATTTTTTTATAGTTTTCTATATTACCGACCGGTAAAAGATATAACAG